GGGGGGAGGGGGGGGGGGGGGGGGTTGAAATTAAAACGTGATGAGGCTCTTCTCAGAGGTTGGCATGAAACTTCCTATCATTAAGGCAGAGCGGCGTGGAAATCATGCTTCTAGCCCTTAATATAACCCTGGTGAGGCTGAGGCTGAAATAGAAGTGGTGCTACCTGACAGTGAAACCTATTTCATCACCGAGCGAAAGCCGTTCCCAATTCAGAAGCTCTGTTTCCTCACTAGGTGATGACATGCCTACTGTGAAACTCTTAGAGATTTGTCCAACACACCTAATTGCTATGTTGCACGCGAATTGGTATTTCCGTATTGCTTCCACGTCATATTATCGTGGGGGCCAAACTGGTAGTTCTCCCCGCATCAGCCTGCAGTAACACAGGTCAGTTTCAGCAAGGCTCAGAAATGGATCATATCGCCCCTGCATCATGCAATATTCATGCTGGCTGGTCTGTTTTGCACTCATGTACTACCCTCCGATGTCATTTGCTCATAGCGCAATATGAAAGACTCGCAAGGCTGACCCGAGCCCTAAATATGTAACCAGCGTTTCGGGAAGGTGACCGCGAACAATCAGTGCTACCAGCGACAAGCTGGTATTACAAGCGTAACAGTGGACTCACCGCAGCCTGAACTGTGTGATAAGAAGCCTTGCGGCATCGGTGACACGGGAAGAGGCTGAGAAAGCTCTCCGGTCATGCCTCTGAGCATGCACGCTTCTGTCCTACAGTGCTGCGCCTGCACAGGATCCTGGATAGGAAGCTTTATTGCAGTTCGGGCTGTCTCCATCATTATTTGCTCCATTGAAAAATAATCAGGCGGCGTTGATAAGAAATGTTGCTGCCTGTTTCTCCGGAAGTATTTCCTAATCTGGCAATGCGACCGCAAAACTACCCCGCCACCGTGTAACCTTGGTCCAAGATTTCAAGCTTTCCCTTACGCATTCTCTTGGTGATACATGACTATTGATACCGGCCACTCATTCGCTCATCATGGAGCATCTTTTCATGACCCTTGATGCCGTGACTATGGCGTCAAAGATCGCAGACGCCTGTAACTCACAGATGCTTCATGAAGACGATGTAACCACCAAAGCATCACTGGTGCCACCAGTAAAGCCGCTCACACGATGGAGACAGTTTGATCATGATGGAACTGATGGAAAAGGGTATCCGGTCTCGGAGGATTTTTCAGACTACCCAAAGGTTCGCGGCTGGACGATTGAGCAAGTCTGGAATGAGGGAGAGCTAAGGAAGGCCCATCCACGCTTTGAAGATGACAAAATAAGCGGCGAGGAGGTAACCGAGCAAGTGGTTGCCATGCTCCAAAGTTGGCTGTATTTTGGATTCCTGGAAGCATTCACCGGAAAACGCATCCACACGTCGTATTTCACAACCTTTGACGAAGAGGGCCTGCCAGTCCTTCACTCAGGCTACCTCGGTTTCGCCTTCTTCGCATGGAAGCTTTCCCTGGAAGGAAGTTTGGAAGAGCTGCTGGATGCCACCTGGGAAATCCAGCTTTCTGTGGCTTCGATCGTCCAACTGCTGTACTTGTGGACCGACCCTGGAACTACTCATGCTGTTCGAATTGAGAAGGATTTCCCCGGATTTGCCGAGGCGGTCATAGATATCCTTCCTTCGGTTGTCAGGCTTTTTGATGCGATTTCTCTGGTGAGGAATGATGTTGCGTCCGACAGCGGGCGGCGTATCGTGGTCCTCCGCGGCCCAAGGCACACCACTGCCCAGCGGGATCAAAGACTCTTGAACAGAGGATGGTGCCCGTTTCTACTCCGGTTCTGCAAGGACAGCCTCCATGACTCCGTCCTTGATTGGCTCGACGGAACGCAAAGACAGTCTGTCACTGCAGGGCACGAGAAATGCTCTGAGATGGAGTGCGCAAGAAACAACATCGACCCGACTACATACAGAACGCTCCATGTACATGAAGGATGCTCATGCGCCTCAGTCCAGCCCGATGTGGGACAGGTACTGTCTATCATTGACCAAGGCCAGATTCCAGTCATACTCCCTGGCGGAAACCTTGATGTTCAAGCGCATGACTCAAGTACTGATGGAAATTACATTGCAATATCACACGTATGGGTTGATGGGCTGGGAGGTGTGACGGAAAAGGGGTTACCAAAGTGTCAAGTCGAGAAGCTCGCTCATCTCGTTCAGGACGCTTCAGGTCCTGGTCCAACTCCTTTTTGGATTGACTCTTTGTGTATCCCACAAGCCGTTGAACAAAGGAAAAAATCCATCGCCCTTCTCAGAGACGTGTATCAGAGAGCCTCAAGCGTCCTTGTCATCGATAAAACCATCAGCGCTTGTTCTTCGGGAGACGATACACCAATCGAAGACCTCCTTTGGGCTATTACATCCTCTTCATGGGCACAACGACTTTGGACATACCAGGAAAGCTACCTCGCGCGACGGCTGCACTTGAGTACCGCTCATGGAAAACTCGTCACCTGGGACTTGGACTTCCCCTACTCCCAGGTCCTATCGACGCTGCGAGTCCTTTACACATCCTTTGAACAACATCTAAGAAGCCTCCGCCCTCCAGACACTCAACACGGCACGGAGCGTAAAACCAACATCGGCCAGGTAGCCAGCGCCCTGAACTGGCGATCGACGAGCAGGAAAGCCGACGAGACCCTCGCCGTCGCTGCTCTCTTGCTCGTTGACACGCGAAAGCTCGTCGATACACCAGCAGACGCACCCGCCGAACGCATGAAGCAGCTCTACCTCGCTGTGGATATGCCTCACGACATCATCTTCTTCGACGGGCCGAACATGGTAGACCCGCCTTTCCGCTGGGCTCCGGAAACGCTCATGGCACGGTCGGCGACGATGCTGGATGTTGCGAACGAAGCTCACACTTCCAGATGCACGCCCGATGGGCTGCATGGCGAGTATCTCGCGCTGATGATTGCGGAGCCGCTGGTGGGAGCCAGAGGCAAGACGCTGTTTGTTCAGGATCCGGAGGAGCATCCCTTCCCATATGGGATTTTCTGGAGCCCCGAGTTTGCGCAAAACCCGACTGAGGTTGACTTCGATGCTGCTATTATTCGCCAGGTTGATGACGAGACGTATCTGAGGCCGGACATCGGTACCGTCGTTGAGGGGGTTGCTGTGCGGACGGGATCGCGGTCTTCGGCGGGGCTTGTCTGCGATTGGGCCGGACGCGTGACGCTGCTGAAGTACGGCCCTGATGATGTCGCGGTGCCAAAGGACAATGCGCTTGGGGACTTCAAGGGAGCTAGGTGGGAGATGTTGTCTTTAGTGATACGATAATGTGACAATGTCAGAAGCATGGATTATCGGATTGATTAATGGATGTCTCCAACAAACTTTCAGGCTCAGGGCACACGTGATTACATCCATTGACCCTGACCTAAATCATGAAATTGATCACGATTCGTATGAGATCAATAACACTTATTGAGGCTACGCCAGCGCAGCGGTAGGCCTGCGCCGGTGCAGCTCCAGGAGCGGATGAAATCATAGCCATCGTGCCGCCCGCGCCTGCCTCAAACTGAACTGCTGGCACTCTTCTGCACACCCCACGCCGTACGCGTTGCTCTCTTCTAGCCGTGCGCGAGCCCAGCACTTCTGGCGCAAGCCCAGCTGATTCATTTTGTGGCCTGTCTTATTCAGCATATCTATAGTATGGAGCGAATATTCTTCATCTCAATCCCAAAATGTCAGACTAGGCGAACTCTTTCTCTTCGAAACTCCGGAGGAAATGAGACCGTGTCAACAGAAGAGCCTTCCTTTAAGAAAACGGTATGAAGCCCAATACGCCTGAACCGAGTCGGCTCCGGGTCTTTCGGCTCCACAGGCTCTATCACCAGAAAGATGATCTTATCGCGCGGCTTGGACTGGTCGTTCGGCATCGAAACTCCATCTTCCTCACTACAATCATGCTCGTCCTCTTCAAAATCATCACCCGATTCCTCATCCTGACTATAATCATCCTCTGACTCTTCCTCATCCTCACTATAATCATCCTCAGACTCTTCCTCGTCCATATCCAAATAATCGCCACTACCCTTATTACGACTTTCTTCCTCATCAGGGTTAGAATGCTCTCCTGGTTGATTTTTGACATTCGATGCCTGAGGTATGGCCGTCTTGTCGATCGCCGAAGGATCGCGTATGGCGACTTCATCCACTCCGAGGTATTCTTCACAATAATACTCCCCACGCTCGGCCTTTATCCTGGGGTACAGGAAGTCGCACATTGCCTGTTGCTCTACCTCACTGAATCGGCTGCTATAGTCAACGTACCCCAATAATGGCAAACACCAAGTGTCGCGGTTAGGATAGAAGTTTTCCTGGTCAAGCATCAGACTTTGCATGCCGTCGTCCCATACAGTCTCGTAGAGAAACTCTACATGGAGCGGTGGTTCAAGCAACATAGTTATGAAAGTCTCAGCTTTGATAGGCCCTTGGGGAAGACTCACAGGCAGCACATAGCAATCAAGCTCCAAAACTCCTCCGAGTAGCTGTCCGAACTCGTCGTCTGCCACTGGGGACGTTTTTGCATCTGTGATCGTTGCAAACGGCCTGATAGCTCGACCAGTCTTGCGGACGGACGAGGAACCCATCATTTCAACGGGTGAATCGATCGAAGCCCATGACCAGGATGGAGCGCGGTACTCTGACGGCCGAATAGTACTAGGCTCGAAAGTGGCCCAGCAAAGGTCTGTGATTAAGCGGCTCTTCCACAGACCAGCAAGATATTGATCAGGGTGGTGATTGCGAAGCTTTTTTGCAAGTCCTGAGATGGCGACCAGCTTATCTTTTCCGGGGTGAGTTAGCTCACAATTGGTGTACTGGTCGACAATCTCCCACCAAATCGTCTCGAGACTACTGTCCCCATTGGCTTCTCTTCCAGCGAGAGTAAGCTTGGTAGTACCACGTGACGAGCCATCTTGGGCCATCTCAGATCTGGTGCAATGTTCGCATTCCCAAAAAATCCCGTAGTGAGTGAAGTGTAGAATGCGAGGCGAGAGTGCACGCTCTTGGATGGTCCAGCCTCTGCTGTGTATGCAGGTATCCCGTACCTGATTGGCAGTCTCGTAGTGATCCCGTTTGGATATGCGAAAGCCGTTGACGGGCATAGGAGTCCTGTCCGGCCACAGATCGGTGAGGATATCTAAACCAAATGATTGCCTCTCTTTGTAACAGCCCTCTAATGCGCTGGATGACTCGCTTGCAGAGAGTGTTAGAGCAGCATTTTGGTAGACTTCGCCCATTCTGGATGATTCGAATTTCCAGTCGTCGTCGCTGTCCTGGACGATACACAGACTATCAATCCATATGTGATGGAACCCTAGTTTAGATGCAATGTCAAATGCCTCCAGGAATTTGCGTGGTAGCTCTTCCATCGGGAAGATCTTCATTGAGGCGTTGTAGTTCTTCTTGGTTAGGTTGAAGAACTTGGCCTTCCCCCAACAATGACTGAGAGCCACATAAGCTGTGTTGGAGGGTAAAAGATTCCCCCGAACCAGGCGCGCTTTCATCACGTTCCGGGTTTGATCGTAGTGGATCTCCACTAGGCGAGTGGGTAGAGTCATCGTGGAACCGGCGTGGGGACTGCACTTTCGATGGTTGCCCTGGCAGTCCTGATACCATTGTTTTGCGAGTTCCATTGTTCCCTGGGAAGATGTTGAAGATCCGAGATCCGACGTAGAGTAAAACGTATCTATGAGACCCATGAGCCAATGTAAAATTATAGGAAAATGGTGGGAAAACTGACGGATGCTATTTGGAAAGACATGGAAACTTATGTCTTGAGAACCCTCAAACGGTGAAAAGATGGGTTCTCCATCGGGAGATACGAATCGCGTCCAAATCTCTTGTACTTTTGCTCTGACAATGCGAAATTCGACTCGTTTGATCTGCTTGAGGTGATCCATCACTATGTTCGAGGATTCTCCCTTGCTTTTCCGTTCATGGGTATAGTTGCTCACTAGGAACACAAGTCGGGCTAGGATTTGACGACAGAGCTCGCATTTCGCCCCACAATCTAGCAAGCCGCCCGACTTGAACACTATATGGTGTTCGTGCCATTGTTCCTGATGCCTAGTTGTATTGGGGTCTTGGTACTCATGTGGTGGAGCGAGGTGTCTGAAAATGCGTTTGCAGTATCTACACAAGGTTTGATAGGCATCACGGTGTGTGAATAGCCTTTATTACGGCATTAGTCCGGAACAAGTAGCATTTTCGCCGCGGACTCTTACCTATCGCTAGGAGCTAAAGAAGCCTCCATGGATACACATTACTCTTGGGATAGATTTGGTGAGAGAAGGTTGAAGTGCGCGTAAAAGAGGAGCCTTTGAAAGCACGGCCAGGGCCGCAAAGAGCTAAAAGAAAAATTGAAAAGCGCAAACTTGTCCGATACTTCAACGTGTAGCCTCGATGTGACAGCGCTCTTTTACTTCAAAAACCTCTCGTTGGAGAATGTGCGCAATTGCCACGTTGGAGACGGCTGTCTGATGCTGGCCAGCAAGGGCAGATGGAGAGTGCTGCGCTGGCAGTGCTGGAGATTGAGTCAATGACACCACATTTCACCGCCCGGCGGGGCAGATGACAGCTATCTGTGGCAGTGTTGCGAGTGGCGGTGTTCGCGACCGCATCAGTGGGGCCTTCCACGCAGCAGCGCTCCTCGCTCTCGGATACGACCCTCCATTCGTCGAGCTCTGCATCTTCATCCGTCTCTGGCAGCGAACGCCCCCCGTCCGTGCGCCCTCATTGCCTTGACCCCACATTAAACACACGCTCGGCTATCTTTTCCTGCTGTCTGTCTACTTTCGCTACGTGCTGGTGGCCTTAAACCTGGTTCTCTTCCGCCATTCTCGCTGCTGCGCCACTTCTTTATCCTCCCCTCAGCTCGGCCGGTCGAAGCCGCAGCCATCTGCCGCGGGTCGGATGTTACGCTAGACGGCAAGGTGTTTGTCGGCGAGGCCGGGCAGTGTCTCACAGTAAGAGCATCCAGTATTCAGCTAAGCAGACCGCTGTGTCGATTCTGCGTGACCCTGTGATACCCCAGGTTTATAGTCCTGTCTCTTTTTCGCTTCATCTCACGGACAGCCTGAGGCGTCGTGCATGGAAGTCCTCGGAGGAAGCCGACCGTTGAGGTCATGGCTGAAGATCCCCGGATGTCTGTGACGTGCTGTCAATGCACTGGCGGCGGGACTAGCCGAAGCCATATCTGACAGTGGCACGACAGACGGGGCTCGGGCTGGGCCCAACAGCGAGATGAGGATGCCTCCACAGGCAACAGCCACCCTCCCTCGCGCTGTCATGCAGATGTTTCAGACAAATTTCCATGTCGGTGATGATCCGATGGGTATGACAAGGTCCTGCAGGTGGCGAATATCGTTCCGGTCAGTAGCTCCAGATCTCAGCCACGGTTGAATGACACCATTAGCCAGCACAATGAAACGATTGGTTTATCCTGTTTCCTAGCAGGACAGCTTTGACCATGCATTGCGCATCTTCGTGGCGGTACTGTTTGTCACCTAGGCAGCAATATGGTAGGCAGCAAGGTGGAGCATAGCAGTCCCGCTTTATGGCGGTGAAGTCAGGTAGCCTTGGTAGGAAAAAGTCGTTTGCTAGTATAAATGCCAATGGATACGCTTGATAATACAAAGTATACCAACTTCTTTTCAGCCACCATGACACTAGACGAAAATGATGCTACCCGGTTTCAAGCCGAGACGGATGAATCATCACAGGCCTCTGACGATCTATCCTCCAGTGAGAGCGACAGCGATCAAAAGCCAGAGAAATCTGCGGACAAAACTCACAAAGAGAAAATGGAGGAATGGGCCTCACGAGTAGAGGCCGACACATTTGAGAAGTGGATGCTTCAAAACGTAGTCAATACAGGTGATTATCAAGCCCATGTCACCTCTAACAATAGCTAATAACATTCCTCAAGACTCAATCCCCCCTGACTATAAGGAGATCTTTATCAACCCATCGATCATCCGGAAGTTGGAACACACCATCGCTCTCTCGTTGCAGAGGCCCAAAGCTTTCGGTCACGGCATTCTCAAAGGCAATAGAATCACTGGAGCTGTCCTTTACGGGCCTCCAGGTAGCGGAAAAACCATGCTGTGCCGGAGCCTAGCTAAACAGTCAGGTCTCAACATGCTGGCCATAACTCCAGCTGAGATCTGGCATTGTTACGTGGGCCAGACAGAGAAGGCAGTGAAGGCCATCTTTTCGGTAGCACGCAAAATCAGCCCGTGCATCATTTTTATTGATGAGGCTGACGCCCTTTTCCCCTCACGTAGAAGCGACGACCAGCGTCATACACGCAACATGTTCAACCTCTTTCTTACGGAGTGGGACGGGCTGATGACCGACCTTACCTCGCCGTTCGTGCTGCTGGCCACGAACCGCCCGTGTGACCTCGACCCAGCCGCGCTGCGCCGCGCCCCAGTTCAAATCCATCTCGAAATGCCTGGGGCCAAAGAGCGTGCCGGAATCTTGGGCGTGCTTCTTAAGGACGAGACACTTGGGTCCGACATCACTATCTCCAAGCTGGTTGAGCTGACACCGCACTACACTGGGTCCGACCTTAAGAATCTCTGCGTTGCGGCTGCTATCGAGAGCGTGCAAGAGCAGCGGAAGGACACTTGGTCACGCATTCTAATGGAGCGGCATTTCCTATCAGCTTTGGGAACCGTAGGAGCCACGAAGATGAACAAGGCTGTGAAGAGCCAGGCTCGGAGGTTCAAGGCGGACTCTAAGTAGAGTTTTGTCAACTTTGAGATGGTCGTTACGGACTTCAAAATACCATGCCACTTGTCATCTGATCAGCATACCACCAACAGCTGATCAGGGAACAGCCTTCTGTATATATGACTTCTCCTTCCAGCTGCTTCAGATAGCCAGCATTCTCTCAATCCATCACTGTTCACCCCAAAATCCAACAGCACCCCGTCAATGAACACGGCCGAAGAGGCCGGGGCAGCTGCAACAACGACCTGGTTGCGCTTAAGGGGAGATTCCGGGTGTTGTGGGCCTGCGCCGATCTCCTGAGTACATAATACGAGCAGGCCGCCGAAACCTCACCAAGGCCTTGAGGAGTGCCTGGAGAGCCATGGTGCCTTACCATGCTCACTCCAGAAAGCGAAGCAGAGTGCCAAAAAGGCCAACCGAGAGGGTCTTTCACTTCCTCTCGGGAGCATCGTCGCCACCAATTATCTGTCTCTCTCTCACTAAGCTCCCCAAAGCTCGGTCGAATTCAAAATAAGATGACATTAAATATTCGTCAAGAGACTGGCTACTACTGTCTTTTCGCTAACTTCTACGTCAGAATGCCTTTATTTCCCATCTCCTGAATCTTCAAACCAGGTCGTTGCCGCGGGGGTTCTGCACGCCGGCATTCAGCCACACGCACCACGCGCCGCCCTCGTTCTTGCTGCTGCTGGGGCACGCGATGGTCTCGCCGTCGATGTTCCAGATCGGACTGCTCGTGCCGGCGCCTATGTATGAAGCCGAACTCGACCGTCACGATGCGGTTGCGGTTGAGCTTGTCGGCCTGTTCCTTGTTCTTGGTGTACTGCAGTACGCCCTGCCCCCATGCCCGACACGTCCGATCACAGCTACTGCTGCTGCGTCGACGCGTCCGTCGTGTTATTGTACAGGAACAACCCGTTGCGCAGTATGAAGGCGGCGTGGTCCTGCTTCTTGCCGTCCGAGCAATGCGCGTCGGCGTTGGGCTTGCCGATCTCGAGCCTGGACGACGAGGCTGACAGCTGCTGGTTGTGGAAGGGCTGGCCGCTGGCAATGGCGACGAGGCTGAAGGGCGCGGGCGGCGGGTGTGGCCAGCCCAGCGCCAACGAGGAGCGCGGTCGAGAGGAGGTTGGTAGAGAGCGTGGTGGGAGTAGTGATTTTGAAAGTGGGGGCTATTTCAGGTGCGTGGAGAGCTGGTGGCTCAAGGGCTGAAACGGAGCCTCACGACGGCAGTCATGTAAAGGCCCGTGACTACGGAGCAGGAGTGCGAGGGTATGACCTTTCCTAGGGTATTACAGAAGTGGGGTTTTATTTTTTGGGTGGAGCACAAGGCGGTGACATCTGTCTGGGATGCAGTCAGCGCAATCACTTCTGCTTTCTGTCATTTATTTATTTATTTTCAGCCATGAAGGTGGCATGCCGAGGGGAGTGAGCGAATCACCATTCGGGTATCAAGTTTCTCATGCGCTTATAAATCCGATAGGCCATGGTCGTTATTTTGTCTCGGCCATTCGCTTCGACATTGTCCAAGTATGACGATCGAAAGTCGTACAGAGCGGGGTAAGACAATAAATGCGGTCGCCCCGCACTGCGGCAATTTTCCCATTTGGTCGAAGATTGCATATTCTCATCGTGGCGCAAACTGCTTCAATTCGCATGCGGTCCCTGTGAGGCTCTCAGGGAGGTGTAAGCCGCATACAATCATTCACGGCGATTCGTAGACTCTACATGCATTTCTTCATTTTCTGTCACTTTGCATGTTGTTTGACTACCATGTACTTCCAGATGCTTATGGGCTTGTAGTATATGGGTTGTGTTTCAGGGTACGCGATGGGGATCGCGATCCATGATCAGCAAAGGCAGAGTAATCAGAAGATTGCAATCCCTTGCGCAATATTGCGAAGTCCAGCTCAGTCGCAGCATCAGGACAATCATGGCTGGCTTGGGGTATATAAGATGATGGGTTTAATACGAGAACGTATGATGAGTCCTCACTTCAGATTCAGTCATTTCTTCGGGCTTCTCATGAGCGTATTCGCTGAACGCCAAACGCGAGATCTACCATCGCCCATTCTTGTTGCCTCCTAATGTCAGGCTTGACAACCTCAGTTTCCTCCTTTCAGCGCTCTAATGAAGCATTGGGCGACTCAAACGAGCCTCCAGGACAGTCCACCAACCCGCATGGAGCGATTCCAGAGCAACTGGGCTCCACGGTGGGGACAGCAGCCAGAAGCTTAGAGAGTCCTGGTGAGCGCATATGTTAGTCGACACGACTGCACTCGCTGACCAAGATCCAGGTTACGATATCGATGACTATTTGCATGAGATCAAGGCCGAGGAGTGCAGCTCGCCTCCAAACAGCGTTGCTGCAACATACGTCTCTTTTGGGAACGATGGAACAACAGCTACTGTCACTGCTATGGGGCAGCTCATGCAGATGACCAGTTTTCTGGGGAAAGGTCGATCTGGATTCTTCTGTGTGGATGGGCCACATACGCCAGAACCAAGCTACGTGATGAAGAGGGCGCAAAAGCTCATGGAGCTGAGCAACCAAAAAGGTCCGATCGGTCTCGAACTTGACCCAGGAGAGTACGCATCTGAGAACATGCGCAGCCTGTGTGCGAAGAAGCCTGATCTGGAATTCATTCGCGATCGCTGGCCACTGTTCACCTCCCAGAACGAGCGTTTGCGAAGTACGAGGCAGTACTTTGTCCACGATAGCACTGTTTGGGACGTTTGGACTTTTGCAACAAAGTATGAGTGCCAGCCGGTCCCGGAGATCAAGAGCATGCGTTTCAATGCGAAGCTGCTGATCAGAGAACTGGACTTTGTTGATTCCGGCCACAGCTTCAATGCAGAAACAGCCTACAAAGCTTGCGGACCCCATGGAAAAGCTTGCAACAGTATCGTCTTGAGACATGACGGCATGAACTTCAAAAATATCAATAGCGTCATCAGTTTGGTGGTTTCATTCTTTGTCGATGGTGAGCCTCAAGAGATTAAAAAAGAAGGCAACGCAATCTTCAGCATCAGGGGTCAGGAGGGATCTCCCGGTAGCCGGACATTGACATTCGCCACCGCCTACAAACTTCACTCATCTTCGAGCTTTAACATCCGAGATACTCCGACCCCTTTTCATTGCAGATTTCAGGATACCTTGAAGGACCCTTATGCTGTACTTTCATTCTCTTCGGATCCGCACTTGGACTTCGTTATTCGGAGAACCCTGGAGCACATCCTCTCTGTTTGCAGCATCCCTGTGCTCTCACACAACGGTGGGACTGGGAAGATGGTTGCGTTGACCTGCGGGGACAAGTCAGGCCACCGGCTTGTGAACAAAGCTAGTTTGTAAGTGTGGCACGTATGCGACCGTGATATTGTTTGATCACTGACACAGTCCAGCTTTGCATTCCAATTCCTTCTACTGGTGTACCGGTTCCTTGGAGAGACCAACAATGAAGGACATGCGGAGTTCCGGGACTACCTAAAAGGCAGGATCGAGAGGACGTGTCGAGCGCATCTAGAGTGGCTATTCTCTAATTTGGCCGAGAAAGCGGACCACCGCTTTATAACAAATTACTGGGCTACCGGAAAGGGAATCAAACGCCGCGGAACACAGCAGAATCAGAATGCCCAGCGCAATGAGAGTACCGACTCATACAGGACTCTCGGTGACGAGTCATTGGCCAATACTCCTCTCCAGATCATCAAGTTGGCGGACTTCATCGACACCATCAAAAGCGATGACCAATGGCTCCGAGAGAGTTTCGGAGCTTTGAAAGCTGTTGTGCACTCCTGGATCGAGTCGTTGAAGAAAGGAGACAAACGCGGGTTCACTGCGTTCCCACGACCAGAGGCCAATGAATACCGCCTTCGAGACCACGTGTGGATATGGAGAGCGTTGAAAGCTCTTGAGAAACTCGGATATGGCTATCTTCTAAGAATCCACGAAGTGGATTTTCAGCCGCACCGGGAAGGGACCAAGGCGCAAACAATGCAGCCTGACTCGCAAGATAGGTCTTGTCCAACCAGGGATTATTCCCCCGCAGCGGTCCAGAATAAAGTTCTGCAACGGTTCACCACCGAAAATCCTTCGTCGAAGCAACGCATGATAGCTGTGGCACGCACATCTGCATCGACAAGATTCATGATCCATTCGCGAGATTCTGCGTTGTTTTTGAACGATGGCTTTTTCTCTAAAGCACGTTCACTTTGGAACATGACATTGAGCGCGCAGCAGTTTCACCAAGAAAACGAGGATTCCTTCTGGAGCAACCCTTTGCAATATGCAATCGGACTTCTAGTGGCAGAAAAAGGCTTTCAAATCAACTCCAAATCTCCAAACGAAATGTTCGACGAGTCGTCGCGAGTACTGCGAGACTGTATATCGAAGAATGGCCTGTTTACTGGGAAGATAAACGATGTCACAAAAGAGCCAGAGCTGTTTCTGGATGAAACCTGGAGAGACTTTTACTGGCACGTCGGCTTTGAAGTTCCTTTCATTCTTTTGAATCTTCACCGGTCGAGCAACTTCTCCTTTGAGCCTAGAACGTGGGACCAAATGAAGCAGCCAACGAACGCCGACAAGCCCCTAATTCAGCTGGGGTATGACGGAGCCACTGGCCAATATCGTGATTCTATTCTGGACAAGGGAAAACCCGACATGAAAAGGTTCTTGCCATTCAACACTCTCATCGATCAGAGCAGCATCACGGAGATCGCTGATGAGTGGCTCTATCCCTACCCTGACTTCCTCGATTTCAACCCGAAAATTAAACACAGGTTTGCGGAGCCGGAGACCTTGGGCAAGTGCGGGCTTGAAACGGGAGAGTTCATCACGAAAGCGATAGAATCGTTCAAAAGAAGAAGGCAGTTGAGGGACTCCAAAGATTTGAGAGGAATCATTGTCGACATTCCGAAGGCTGTACGCTCTTGGATCTATGGTATGACCGAAAAGCATCGCAATCAAAGTGAAGAAGGAAAGTGCTTTGACAACAGTCTACTCAAAGAGCACCTAGATGCCCGCCGCATCGCACAGAGTGCCAAGAAGAGACTCATCTGGATGCCAAACGCTGATCACGACACTGGCTTACTTTGTTTTCTTGGATCACCTGTCTCTGAGCGTATTTGTCTGGCCTCCTTTTTCGACAAACATGAACACCGCGAGAAGTTTGTCTCCGATGAGACAACAGCAGCATTGAACAAGTGGCAAACAGAATTTCACCTATCGTGGTATCGGCTAGTTCGTGTATGCCGTCGAAGCCCGTGCGAAGAGATCAGCTTTCTTGGAGGCAAGTCGAAATTAGAACATGCGTCTCTCAGCTTTATCTTCATCGGAGACTTTTTTGATCGGTATTGGACCTGTCGTGTCCTTGAATACGACCCAGATTCGGTGAGCGACCTTCAGGACCCTCAAAACCTTCAACGGCGCTTCAAGGAGATCATCGAGCCACAGGATTTCCTCCCCATGACCGATCTTGACAAAGGATCTTGGCGCCAACGCAAGATTCTCGAACTCCTTCTGTTTGATTGCGCACTTCGGCGAAGCTTGGACGATTTCAAAGAGATAATTAATGCAATTATCGACGAATTACTCGAGCTTCTTTCAAGACACAAGCAAGGACGTCCTGAGGAAGAGATAGGGAAACAAAACGCCAAGGGTCAGAGGCCCGAAGAATCTGGTCTGCCACGGCTGAACAAGCTACTCTCCTCAAAAATGGGTACTGGGGCCTACATGTCTTTCAGCAAAAGGTGGCCGACAATCCAATATACCTTACAGGTGATTGAGGATGACCTTCAAAGCATTCTGGACTTGGTGACGCTATGGGACAATCGAGAAAAAGACCGTGAGCCTGAAAGACCTCGCTGGACAAAGGACGACGAGCGCAAATACCGGTCAGCTATAACCAAGTTGACGTTCTCGAACAAGAAGAGAGTTCGGCAGCTCGAGGAGCGACTGCGTGTTGTTCAATCGCTTAGAGCCTCTCTCACCAACAGGCTGGACTCTGTTCGGAACGAACTAAGTTTTCAAAGTGCCCATAACATTCTTGCTTTCACCTGGGCTACTTTCATCTTCTTTCCTTTGGGCTTTGCAGCAGCACTTCTCAGCATGAATGGGGTCCCCAGGCGCCCGGAGCTAACCCTTTGGGGAATCTTAGCTGTCTGTTTTCTCTGTTGCACAATTACTGCTTTCATCGTCACATCTCACAGATTCTCGGTTATGCAGACGATTTCTCAGTTGAAGATTCCAGCGTTCCATAACCGGCACAGCTCCGAGTCCAGAAGTCCTGGATCATGTCCACACCACAAACCAATCAACCATCCAAAAAGATTCGGTCAACGGTTTTGGCGATACTTGCGGTTTTATAGAGGAGACCAAGTGACAGAAGAGCAAGAGAGGAGGGAAGAACCACCGGAGAAAACGGTCTAATGGGCAAGGCACGGAGGCCCGTTCCACAGCTAGTGCCAATGAATGAGTAAATAGCGGCTGAGAGCCATGAGCATTCACATCTTCGAGATGGCGTAGCAATGGTTAGTTAATTTTGTGAGGGTCAGATCAACGGATACATTGTGTAGGGGAGAGTGCCTTTTTGAGTCATTTGCACGGTCCCATCTTTGTACATATCTGAATGAGGTTCAATTGTCAACTTTCTATCGCAAGGCATCACATATCCTACTTAATGCTCGTTATATTTTGGAGGACCTTACCAGTTATGATTGGCAGGTTCAGGAAACAGCGGCAAGGGCCTCACACCGCGCGACACTGATGACAGTTGTGAGGATCTGGGGCGAGGCAGAGCGGGCACCATACCAGTGGGACAAAAAGGCTAAACGTAGTCCACAAGGAAGCAAAACCTAAGCAGATAGAATATAGCGATTAGAACCAAATTTCAGCCCGCCCAGGAACAGAATTTAGCAGCGATCATTGGTCAGACCTTTCGGATAAATCCTCCGTAATCGACGAAGTTATTAATAGCTTTTTCACACTAAATGCGCGCGGAGACTGGGCTGCACCGCGCAGCTCAACTATTGGTGGGGGCGCAGAATCATACGGGAGAGTAGACTGTCAGCCGTTAAGACATGTAACGCGACTAACGCAGTCAATGTTTTACACATCACCCGAACCTACTGCCGGGCTTACATTTCGAATATTCTACCGGAGAAGAGGAGGGCATCATTTTGCCACCATTCATGCCCAATACCCTCGGACATTGTCAAACTGTGGGTGGGCCTTAGGCCCTGAACTGATTGAGGTCAGAAAGAAAGAACTGAATTTCTGCCTGTGTGCTTCTGCCTATCCTTCGAAAGAAGGAAAACGAAAGTCTTAAATACATGAATCTGGACTGATACAACCGAGGAATTGAGAGTACCCCTGGGCAGGGAGTCCCTTATGCCGGTCCATTAATTAAGATAAAAAATGTGCTTTCCACTAGGAGGCGAGAGAAATACTAGAGGGACTGCACCGATTAGGAGTGCTGCATAAGAATCCGGCATGGCGCAACATACTGCGGGACGATCGCACTAGCCGTTTGATGTGGACCGACCTGGAGTGGGCCGAAGTGTACGCTTGGTCGTTGTTGGGCCCTATAAGTCTGAACCGGATTTGTAGGTCGGCCGCTTTCGTTTCCGGTTTAGACTTATAAAGGTTGAGTTGCTCTACACGCCGAGAACGTCAATAGGGTGCTTAGAAGGCTGAGGGTGCGGGAGCTGTACCTGGACCTGGATAAATGCGAATTTAACGTCAGATTAGTCAAGTACCTAGGGCTCATCGTGGGTATAGACGGGATCAAAATGGATCCCGAGAAAGTCGAGGCAATCCTTAGCTGGGAGACTCCCTCCTCGGTCAAGGACGTGTAAGCCTTCCTCGACTTTGCGAACTTTTACAGGCGGTTCATCCACAACTTTAGGCAATTCGCTAGGCCACTCGCGAAAATGACGAAGGGAGAGCACTTTACCGCCAGGAACGGGAGGAAGAAGATGAGGTACCAGCCGTTCGAATGGAACGAGCGGAGGCAAGCGGCATTCGAGGCACTGAAGTCCGCCTTTACCTCCGCCCCCATCCTGGTGCACTTCGACCCCTCCAAGGAGATCTACGTGGAAACCGACGCGTCCGATTTCGTTACGGCGGGAGTGCTCTCCCATATTCACGGCGATGTGCTGAAATCCGTCGCCTTCTTCTCCAAGAAGATGACATCCGCCGAGTGCAACTACCAGATTAACGACAAGGAACTCCTCGCCATCATCCGCTCGTTCGAGACGTGGGAACCGGAGCTCATGAGCAACCAAGCGGATCAGCTCGTCAAGGTCCTCTCCGACCACAAGAGCCTCGAGTACTTCATGAGCACGAAACAGCTCACGAGCCGGCAAGTGTCACGCTTCTCGGCCATCGAAGATGATTGCCGTGCTATGGGTTTATCATCCACTGTCTCCAAACATAATTCTAATGCACTCCTAGTCTATGTGTGCATTGTTTATCTGACCCCGTGATACCGTCTCCAGTGATCAAGGAAGAACATAGCCGCCATCAATCAGGACATCGCTTCCTGTCATATAAGAGGAGGCATCACTCGCCAAGTACAGGTACAGTCCTTTGATCTCCTTAGTGTGTCCCTGTCTTCCAAGTGGTGTCATGCGGTACGCCTCGTTGACGACGCTCGGGGCGGCGCCCATCTTGGTGTCGAAGAATCCTGGGGAGACGATGTTCACCCTCGCGAAATCTTTCCATTCGTGCGCCAGCGACTTTCCGAACTGGGTGACGAATGCCTTCGTGCCGTTGTAGACTGGCTGGTCTACTGGGACATTGACGATGTGGGCGCTCATGCTGGAGGTTATGATGAGGCTGCCCTTTCCTTGGCGCTTGAAGACCTCGCCGACGTATTTGGCACAGTACACCACGCCATTCACTGCAAAAAATTGTTAGAGATAAATTATTGTGGGAGGGCTGCGATGTACAAACCATTGACGGACATCTGCTTGTCGTATTCCTCAAGAGTCTGCTCCAAAATCGGCTTCGATATCGCCATTCCTACAATTCAATTAATTCAGCATCTCCAGACTTCAAAATCGGAGAAGCACCACGTACCAGCGTTGGCGACAAAGACGTCAATCCGACCAAAGTCTTTCACGACCTGGGCAATAGCCTCTTGTACCTTTTCCGGCTGGGAGACTACAAGCGACATATGTCAGCAAAGCCGAATTCTACAGCTTTTGCTCGAGCACCCATACCTTCCACCTTGTAGGCTTTCGTCTTCACACCGTGAGTCTGAGCCAGTTCCTCTGCTCTTGCAATTGCTGCATCGTTGCTGTTGTACCAGAGCGCAACGTTTCCGTGAGCCTCCGCCATGGCCGTCGCTACAGCGAGACCAATTCCGTCCGCTGCACCATTGACGACAATGACCTTGCCGTTCATTTGAAATTGCTCCAGGACATTGCTGGGAGTATCCGGGAACGGACGAGGGAATCCCTCGCGGACCCTTCCGGCTTCCTCAATGGACATGGACATTTTGACGGCGGATCAAGAGACACAGGCGGATGAAAGAAGGCGTAGCTGATTGAAATGTGAATTATTCCTGAGGCCTCGAATGCAGGACAGATCATATTATATACGGAAGGTGTAAACAAGGTGCGGAGGGGCAACGCGATCGCTTGCACCAATCGGTCGACAAGCGTCCGAGAATTCTCCACCTTGGCCGGTGGAAAGCTAAACTGCCATTGGTCAATCGGCACACAGACGCCCGATGATAGCGCAAGTCGCCTTTCGGGCTGTTGTTGTCCGATGTCTCCCCGCACCTGGTGTTGAGTGTTCTTCCCCGCGAAAAGTGGCTCTCGCTTTAGCTCTCCATGACGTCATATCTCGAGGCTGCAAGCTTTTGAGAGGGCGGAGCTTTTTGATCTTTTCGCATTTCGTAGGATAAAAGCCATTGTACCTGGTGCGTTGCTTTCTGTCGCCGTCGCCTTTGGGTGTTATGTTGTTGCTTAATCTGTTCTAGTGAATCTTGCGCAACAAAAAGTGGAATCCTGTCAATCATTCCATGCGGGGTTCCTTTTTCTTTTTTTTTTTTTTTGGGGGGGGGGTTATTGAGTATGTAAGTGTTGTCGGAAAGCTTGGTGTTGAACGACATGACTTTTGTCTAATAAATCATACGGCGTAGTGGCGATGGGGTTGGGCCAAAATCATGCGCCGCAGGAGTTTCATGAATCCCGGGCCGCCTTCTGCTCGGCAATTTTAGCGTTCCAACAGAACTTCGGCGAGAGACCTGCAGAGTTACTGGTGATGGAACAGACCGGAATAAAATGGGAAAGAGCCGGGGAAGTGAGATATGCAGCTTCATAAGCTTCTGCTTTGACCTCCACAGTGCAAAGTTAGCACACGCAACTCAAGGATTGCAGCCTTCATGCTGGTAGGTGTCCCAGAACGTACATGAGATCATTGCTGCCTCGTGCTTTGCCAGATCTTAAATACTATATAGACGTTGATTACTAGAAGGGTTGTCTGCCTATATGCAGCTTGTCGATCCAATTCAAAGCGGAAAGCATGAAGCCCGCGGCCCACTAGTGCAAAATTTACCAAGAAGCAAATCAAGCATGACAGCTCCATAAATGTTGCTGACAATCCAAATATATGATTAGCTATACGATTACATGGATTTAAATGCCAAGTCGCTAAGCGCGGGTAACCACCATCTCGTCTCAACACAACGCTAAAGTCACACGACCTGCTTTTTTAACCTGTCATCCTACTTGAAGCCATCAACATCTCCCATCAATGGAGACTCCACACGGCACTTGATTCATTCAAACACCCAAATAAATTTCACCATATGCGTCTCAGCATGGAAGATGACTATGATCGAACGGATGCGGAGACCATTACCGTCGACGAATGTCATTTTTGTCACCATCTGCAGACTAATGGCGGAATCAAGTTCATTCCTGGTCCTGATGGCCAAGACCCTGTTCAGCATGCCTCGACGAAGAAGCTTTTGTATATATCGTTTCACGATAGAAGACATTGTCCAGACATTCCTTCTGATCTTTCAGCCACAGGAATGAGCGCCGCGGGTTTGTGCGCCTTCTGCATGCACCTCCAACCCAGGGTCTGGAACAGCATCGATCATTTCTTCGAGGTCACCTTGGACCCACTTTTGGATATTGAATCTCGCCACTCAAAATGCGGCTTGTGTTCCTTTTTCACTAAGACCATTGCTCGTACGAGACAAATTGGTGAAAATTCTCATATCGTTCTCAGAAAAGCACAACCGCAGTCGAAAAAGCTGAATGAAACCAAATGTTTCTCACTGTGGCTGGAGGACGACGACAAGATGAGAAAGAACATCTGTTGGTTTGAGTTGGAGGAAGAAGCCGTAACCCACGAGACTTTCGAAGCCGAGCCAATCGTTCCCGAGCTCATCGACTGGACGGAAATTCGAGCGAAGCTGGAAGCCCATCCATCTCCCGCTTCCCAATTGCCTCATCCGTCTGGATTTCGAGTTATCGATGTGGAGCTCTACAACGTTGTTTTGGCGCCGGAAGGATGTGACTATGTCGCATTGAGCTACGTGTGGGGCAAGAGCCCAGGAAATGGAACTTTGCAATCTTCACTCGCCAACATCCACACACTGGAGCAGCCGGGTGGGTTGCAGGTGTCACAAATCCCAGCAACGATTCACGACGCCATGCAGGCCTGCTCAAGGCTTGGAAAACGGTATCTGTGGGTCGACCGCTTCTGCATCCTGCAGGACGAAGACAACAATCCTACGAAGGCTATTCAAATCAACGCCATGGGGCATATGTACCGACAGGCATATGCAACACTGGTGGCGCTAGATGGCGATGGTGCGGAGCACGGTCTGTTTGGAGTTTCCCGCCTCAAACGCGAGCCGGTGTACCGTGCCTGTTCATGGGTCAGCGCGCAGCGCCAAGACGCTAATTTTGGCGGCCCAACACGATGCATTCGAGCAGCCACGACAGCATAACAACGCATCTGGTGGCCAAATGGCTTGTTCTTATTAAAGTTCATTTACCACTTGGTCTGATAGCCTCCAGCTTTGATCACATCTTGCAGCCTCTCCCTCATGCCTTCACAAAGTTTCTTTAAACTCGGTTTTTCCACAGCCATATACGCCCGAGGCAACCACTCAGCCAGGAGCTCTTCTGCACGCTCTAGATTCTTCTTAGACTTAATAAATGGAGCAAGCTCTTATAGCTTCTTCTTAAGAGGAAACTAAATCTACTTCTATAGGTTAAGGTCTGGTAAAAAGAGGGGGTAAGAAATACAGTCAATCTTGTAGTCATCTAGCCATTTTTTTTTACAACATTTACCCGGTAAATACTAGCCCCATCCTATAGCTAAAGTATGCCTAGCTTCTAATTACGTAGTAGCTTCTCCTTAAGTATATTTATATAAGATCTAGCTAAAAATCCTTACTTAGGGGCTGCTAGATCTCTTTACATAATGTTAAGGTCTAAAAAGCTAAATTTATAAGAGAATGTACTCTATACTATACATCTAGCTTTCTTAGTATACCTTCTAGCATCTACTTAATGCGGGTTCTATTTTTATTTGCCTGGTTGGCGGAATATCTATGCTAGAGAGTGACCTTTTCCTATTTAACTAAACACTTATCTGACCAAATAATATTATACTAAAATAAGAAGGGTTTTTTAACGTATTTTTTTGCGTAAGTAAGCCGAAGTTTCGCATTTACTTCTAAAATTTATAGTCTCTTTTTTGCTCGCTATTTGGTAATGTAGTATTTGCGTAAAATACGTCTGAGAGTGCTAACTAAAATACATAAATATAGCTGGTGGATTACCTATTTGTGCTTGAGTTTTGGCCATTTATTAATAAAACGAACAATCTACCGCTCCGTGCGAGGATGAACTTTATGGACAGGACTAGGTCGCTTTGCCAGATCAATCTGGCCCATTATTTTGTAGTAGTTGATGCAGTTGCGGACAGCGGTCTCACCAAACCCAATCTTGCTTGCAATCTTGCGGCCAGAAACACCATCTTCGTGCATGGTGATAATGGAAAGTCTTTGATCATGTGAAAGCTCATGCCTGCGCCTAGCATTGCCTGAAATTTCGCTTCCAAAAACTCGCTGCATGGTGGTTGTGGTGGGGGTGTTCAAATGAGGGCCACGTTGCTTACTCGCCGATCGCGAGGAATGCGCGCTTACCCATGAACACGCGCAGTACATTGGGAAAATCCCATACGCGGGGCTCACAGAAGCGGGCGCCACTGCCGATCTCCGGGATCTTCTCCGCCAAAGCGTGTGGAACAGCCGGGGTTGGACATTTCAAGAGGCCATGCTCTCCACAAGACTTCTATTCTTCAGTCATCGCGGGGTCATGGGCGCGTGTGACTCGCCTCGGGGCACAAGCTTCTTTTTTGAGCAGAACCTTGGGGGAAGGGTTATCACAAGCGGCGCGCCGAGCTTATCACCCTCAGATGATAGGCGCGACATTTTCGCGGACATGGTGCAGCAACTCATGGCCAGGAGCTTTACCAACGCCAACGACATTCTCAATGCATCGGCCGGCATGCTGAGCTTGGAATTCGGTGATCATCGGTATGGCCTACCGCTAGAGGACTTTGACGGTTGTATGTTGTGGTCGCGCGTGACACTGAGGCCGGGATATGACTCGGAGTCAACCGAACGACCACGGGCGCCCAGGGACACCTTTCCAAGCTGGTCCTGGTGTTCTATTCGTGGAGAGGTGGACCTGCTCAGGTCAAGGACAATATCTGTATCAGATTGGGGGTTCTTGACCAATGTGCAAGAGAGCAAGCCTGATTTTGCCCATCCGAAGCCACTCGACTTCGATTTCACCTTCACATCCAGGAAACGCCTGTGCTATCACCAGACATGTCGCGCTGGGGGCCGCTCTGAGAGTAGCTGCTCCACTGCAAAATACTCGAGAGGCCTGCCATAGACAAGGTTGATGGTGCTCTTCGCAATGATAGTTTTACGCGAGTCAGTACAAGAACGATAAGATAAGAGGAACACCATCATTCAGCAACACGGATGTGAAGTTCTGCTCATTGTACAGGTCGATGATCCCGGGGCTAATCATTGGCGAGTAGGAGGCGAAAGGGCTAGTCAAGATGCTGGCGTCGGTGCTGACGGCTGCATGCCCTTCGATCACCCCCCGACCAATTCAAGGTAGGAAATGCAATGCTAGCCCGCGATTAGCGTTCCACCGCCGACGGCTTGCAAGTGCTCTTTTCAAGACGAGGACAGCCACATTTCCACATGAATATCATCGCTCTCCCCAAAATAAACGTACATGATCGCGGCATCGCAGAAGTTCTTAAGTGGTATTGCTGGAGGTGTGACGGCTCGGACTGCCTTTGGCAAAATGGGGCTGACGTGGTCCGACAACCCAGATTGCGCGGACACCATTGAAGGCGCGTATGCATGACGGTTCAGGGTGACAAATCAGCTTTATTCTTCTCATTGCTGCCTAGCGCCTCGGGATGGGGTATTTTGATGATATGAAACTCCTGCGCGGCAGGTTAATCCTTCTGATCAGAGCCATGTCACCATATCACGTGCAGTTGGTTAGCGCTTCATTTCGGGTATGGTTCACCGTCGCTTAGCCGCTCCAACCTCTATAAATTAATCCAGCTTGCCCCATCATCTCCACGTACATACGTTGCGCTGCCCGCTTGGTGTGCCGTATTCCGTCGCACATTTTACTTCCTTATACGAATCCTCGTGTGCATTACGTGAATTACCACTGCCCTGACATCTGCATCATCTTTGAACGTCCAAGTCATAGTGAATTAAGCACCATGGCGAATTCCACTCGCCTCAGTGTCATCATCCGACCGCTCCAGATGATCTGGTTATCCATCCAATGTAATTCCCGCTCCTCAACCTCACCCACACCGTCATACTTATTTCATAAATAGCGCACTACCATGTTTTCAAGGAATTCCTTCGTAAAGACGGATTCGTCGCACTTACATATGTCCAACAAATTCGAGACGCCGCCACAGCAAAACTCTTCATTGCACATGGTAACCTCCCTGCCCTCAACCACACTCCCCACGTACCAACCCTCGTGCACAGCCGACGGCTTTATCGCTTTTGAGGGCACGACCTGTGTTCCCTCGCTCGTCCTCGCCGCTCATGGCAAAATCCTCGAGCTCGGCCCTGGACCAGGCAACCAACTCCAGCGCTTTGATCCATCCCGTGTAGACTTCATCTACGCCGTTGAACCCAATGCGCAGTATGCAGACCATATTGCCGCGAAGCTCAAGAGGCTTGACCTCCAGGATAAGTACAAACTCCTTGCGTGTGGTGTTGAAGATAGCGACATTTTGAGAAGTGAGGGAGTTACAGAGGGGAGTATGGATACTGTGCTGAGTATTCAGGTCTTGTGCTCGGTGGGCGATGTGAAAAGTGTGATGAGGGAGGTGTGGAAGTTGTTGAAGCCGGGAGGCAGCTTTGTGTTTTGGGAGCATGTGAAGAATAAGGATACTGCTACGGCTATCGCGCAAGGTACGTGTTGGTTGCTTTCTAAGCTGTGTGGAGTGACTAACATGAAAATAGCTTGTTTAAATCCTGCTTGGAGCACATTCGTCGGGTGTCATCTGACTCGGCATATCAAGGAGGATATCCTTGCTGCTGGGGAGTGGGAGAACCCCGATGATATTCAGGTGGCACATGATCCGTTCACTTGCTTGCCCAGAATCTGGGGCGATCTCAAGAAGAAGGCGTGATTGGAAACAGGGCTTTCTTTTTGGTTCTCATTATTTGCATACTACCTTCGAGCTTATGAGGCACGATTTCATTTTCATTGCCGTCGGATCATTCGCGTAGGTGCCAAATGAAATAGGCAATTATCTTTACGAGCAATGCAACCAATTTCAGGTTACTGACTCCCGAAAAACATTCACAACGCAGACATCAACATCTGTAGCAATTATCCTTGACTGTGTTGGAGAGCTGCGATGACAGATATGAACATTGATAACTGATAAATCAGAGATAAGCAAGGCGTTGGGCCGGATACGTATGAGAAAACAACAGATCCCAGTGCATAAGACTAAGAAGTACAACATGCGGATGATGAAGACTTTGAACCTCCATGCACGCTGAGTGAGACTTCCACCGTGAGACAGGGTCTTTGAGATGATAAGCTTGAGCCCGGGGATAATCCTTCTATTGTCGCAATTTCGGCTCCAAAAAGCAAGCACAATCTTTACGCTAGACGGCCGTGGCTCTGGAAAATGAATTAGGGAACATGAAAAACAGGAGCGACTGTAGAGGAGTCGGGAAATGAGAGAGGCTGGGGTCGATCAGCTCCTTAAGCAGCTGGGAATAGCGGGTGAAGGAGCCGGTGCATGTCCAGCCAATCATTCCATGCTGAGATACGCGGGAAAACAAAAACAAAAAAAGGAGCAAGGAATGGTTCTTATAAGCGCTGGGCAACGTGAGCGATGCGCTTAGCCCGAAATGAGACTGGCCTGAAATGGAGTCGGATTTCTCTGCAACAATTTTACATACGGAACCACCCGGGATGTTTTGTTAAACCTGCATCCCACCAGAAGATCTACTTGAACTGGCGGCCACCGGATCTAGATCTCGAATACAAGGAAAAGGTGCGAACTCGTCAACGTGACATGCTGAACTCGATAACACCGATTCTGAGAAAGGAAGCCTTGCATCAAATATCAGGCTACGGTTTGCGCGTTGCAGGGTCAGCCCCGCACCATTCGATGGGGTACCTCATGGCGTCTTCGTGAAGGATGCGCTGCCAATTACGAGGCGAAGCGCGCGATATTGTTACTAGCGCGTTTCCAGGTGCAGAAGGCAGTGAGGTGTGACGAGGCGTGCTATAGTTGTCGAAGGTGCGTGCGTTGGACGCTGGAGTAACGGGGAATGTTCGAGGAAGACGCAACGAGGGACGCGTTTCGTCCCCATCCCTTCGGCTCAGCAGACCACCGGTGATCCTGGAGCTCCTTGGCTATAATTCTATCTATCAGTCTATCAATCAACCAAACAGCGCTTTTCACTAAGTAAGCCATCTCGCTTCGTCCGATTAACCTAGTATATACTTTTAGTACGTGTATCCTAAAAGCTAACACGCCTAGATATATCGCTACTTAGCTTATCTAAATAATTCATACTAGATTAAGTATAGTTATATCTTATCTCGCTTGTGCGCTTATAAAAGTACGATGGCGTAGTATTGGCTTAGCTTAGCTTTTATACAGTGCAAGCGCCGACGCGTGCGATTAGACCACGTTAGCGCGTATTGTTGCATTAAGTGGGCGATGTTACGGCACAGCCTCCATAGGATTAGTAAACAGCATAATAAGGGAAGAAGTGGCGTACGCTGATGATGATGATGATGATTTATGCACCCCGTCGGCCTCCACGGGCCATAGGGACAAGGAACGCTATCCTACGCTAAGCTACGTTGGGATCCCGGTTCATTCGAGGCCCAGCACGCTGTATATAAAGAAAACATCCTTCTCTCCCATCCAACGAAGCAAAACGCAAATGAAGACGGTAGAGAAACTAAGTGACGCGTAATAAAAGTAAGAGAAGCAATATATCAACCAGAAACCCCTTGTTTTTTCAGTCATCACTTCTGTTTAATTCCATCACCGCACTCTCCCGAAGGTTTTGCCCGAGAAGAGGGGGGCACCAATTTACCACTATTCAAGCTCAATATCCTCGGCTATCACTTCCTCGGATACTTATAGTTTCTCGGTTATATCAGCTCAGTCTAATGTATTTAAGCACATTCATTCTCCTTCAGTAAGAAGGACAGATAGAAATTCAGTTCTTCTCTTCTGACCTCAACCGGATCGGGCCTGAGGCCCACCAACAGTTCCATATTATTTAATTCCTAGAAATCTCGAATTGAAGAATAAACCTTTCACATGAATAGAACTATTCTACGGCTAGAATACAGGGATAAACCATGTCAACCTCGAAGATAAGGTTGCTAAACTTTATTAGCTAACGAGAAAACTTAAAAAAGTGCTAATCGATTTTTTCACATTTTGCTAAACCTAAATTAGAAAGTGATATCTCCTCTTCTAATGTTAAGAGTTTCGTAGTTCTGTGTGCCGTCTCGAGATGCCCTAGTTACTGATTCTGCGAGCTTCCATCCAACTAGTAAGTTTAAGCTTCTCCACAGCGTAGGCATATAGCTTAATGCAATTGCCTAGGAATTGTCAAGTGACACATGGGCCTCAGCAAGCTCTAAATATTGCCATTTAGCACTCTCCCTGGCGTGAGTAATGATCGGTCTCCTAAAAATTTTTACACACTACTACAGTCGATCATGGCTTCGCAATCGGGGCTATCTAAACTATCCGAAGAGCTCGTCGAGCGCGTCTTTAGTTTCCTCGCACTGGCAGATATTATGTCCATATTGCTGGTGTGCCACTCGTTCAGCCGCATCGCCAGACCATTCCTATACAGGAATATTGTGATCGACGCTCAAAACGCGCAGAGGCTGAGAAGCATCCAAGCCTTCTTAGACCACCCGCAGCACACTAGGTCCGTCCGCGAGGCTATTATCTATACCTCAGAGGCCCAACTCGCTATCGTGTCGCTCTCGACCTTCACCGAGCGGCAGCAGAAAAATCTCAGCCAACGGACACCCGTTCCCTGCGACCTCACCCGCTACATCGACATAATTGGAAACGTCGTGCAGCGTATGACGTTGTTACAGAGCCTCGACGTGCGCTTTCATAAACAAAGCGATCTAGGAGAGTTGCTAAATTGCATCTTCCGCGACTATCTCGGGACGAGCGATCCAGCACAAATGTTCCCGAAACTCGCGAGCTTCCGCTTTAGGCCGGTCGACGACGAAGAGGAGGAATTGGTGCGCCTGAACACTACTGACCTGGGCCTTGTTTTCGACCTCCGGCGAATCCAGGAATTGACGATACAGAACATATATGTCACGGGAGATCCGGTAGAGCGTGTGCGGCTCTCTCCTGCACTATCACTTAAGACACTCGTTCTCAAGGAATGTGCTCTCAAGCCGCACCACATCTCAAGCTTAATCGAGGCCTGCCCGGCGCTGGAAATTTTCGATTGTGAGATCATGTACGATGCGGAATACGCCCAGAGCGTCGGCGCGTACGATTTTAGCCCGGTCAAGTATGCTATTTGCTCTCTCAAAGAATCCCTACAATATCTTCGGCTTATTATCATCCTTTTCACAACCACAGCCGTAGACATTGGACAGCCGGGCCCTTGGGGCATCCGATCGTCTATTGGACACTCCTTAAAGACCTTCACAAAGCTCAGAAAACTTGAAATTTCCCTTCCGGTATTGCTCGGATGGCATGCGCGGAGCACCGCTAGCCTAAATAGTGTGCTTCCCGACAGCCTCGAAGAGCTCTTCATTACCCAGGAGACGGCCTACTGGGATGGCTACGAGTCGAACGATCTGAATTTCCCCGAGGAGCCCGATTATGTGGCTATATGCACAAAGGTCAGAGATTACATCCAGGGTAGACCGAAAAGCCTGCACAAGGTCAAAATCGCAGTCGAGGACTTCGGTAATGAGGATGCAATGGCCTTAACTCAGGGGATTACTGAGAAGGCAGTAGAAACCGGTGTGTGTGTTGAAATTATTGAGGAACGCTTCTTCTGAAGAAAAAGCAGGCGTTGATAAGGAACGGTGCATGTGGTTCCCAATTGGTCATTTGTCAGGTATTGAAGAAGCTGATGGAACAGAGCTAAAGCCCAATCGTTGACTGATCAATGCTTTGTTGCCTGATCTGAATAAGCTCTCTACTTGTTTTAGTTATAATATTAGGTTCCTATACACAAGATGACTTATTGTTGCGATAGCAGCGAAACCACGTGCAAGCGTTAATTACTCGGTTGAAAATTTCCAGAGCGCGAACTGCACACATGTGCACTGACGTGATCCTCGATCGCTGTTCTCGCGCTCGTTTGCGAGATTGCCGGGAGTCCGCCGTTATTTGTCCTTTCCTGGATCAGGGGAGAGCGATCCCGGTGGACGGGTACAGCAGCTCGCTTCTGCTTCGCCTCAGCCAAGATCTTAGAGAGAAAGGGGGTTCCTATTCATCATCCTTGTCATCGATTGACTCGGGAACAGATTTGTCTAGTGCGCTGCGAGATGGCCCCGTGGAGCTCGGAGGCTGATAGAAGACGATGGAATCTATAGCTGTGTAGAACACTGCAAAATAAGAATACTTGATGAGAAAGAGTGTTTGAGGTGGGACTTTTGCAGAGAGATGTTGCGGACGGATAGCTAGAGAAGGGGAGAAATGCTCCTGCTTTTATACCGCGAATGCCCCTCTGCCCGGCCACCCACAACCGCTAGCTAGTGCTTTGCTGGAACGCAGCCTCCGTGGCTCGGAGGCCAATTTCGATTATTAAGAGAAAAAAAAGACCGCGTCGTTTCCTTACAGGTCCTCTTGGCTCTGAACTGCACTATTCCACTCTTGAAGACTTACGCCAGCTACTCTGAAATGTAACCCTCGTCTAATAGTCCCGTAGATAGTATCTGCCGACTCCATTGCCGGCCACTGCTGCCTGACGCAGACCTCGTATTAATAGACGGAACGGTGTGCACACTAATTATGCAGCGGTTAGTCCCCGAGCAGTAGACCGACGAATGGCGAACCACCACGCAGGTGCCAAGGGGAGACGGAGCCATCCAGACGGTCAAAGATCTAATGAGGCATTATCCTGATTGGATGAATGCTTTGCCCCTGTTAGCATGATTAATGGGGTGGTGTGATCTCGGAGTAGCCCACGTACGTTAGTGACGCCCACACCATGCTACTGACAGTCCTCGACTGCGAGGCGGCAAATAGGAAACGGCCAACACAGGCGCTAAGATGATAAGCGACAAACTATAATATTAGCAGTTTGACAAGGCGTTTTTGTGATTGGAGATGTGTCGACGACGCGAGACCGAGCATGGCGCCACTAGCTGTACAGCCCCGATTATGTCGCAGCTGCGGTGTGCCCGATGGTCCTGCAATTCCCGACACTGGCGGCTGAACCGAAGCCCCGTATGGATGGATAGCGGTTAACACTGCGATGGGGCATCAGGACGCATGCACACATAGACGACATAGGGAAGAAAAACAGATAAAAAAAAGAGGTTTAAAGCAAAGGTCTGAGGGGAACGTACAGGGAAGGGTAGCGCGACTACGTCGTAGGAGGAAGGCATAGCCCGTCCAGCTCAGCCATCGGCTGCAACAAAGCGGTGAAACCGTGCGGAGTCTGGTGAGGCATTTTCTTTTTTTTTTTTTTGGTAGCGTGGATGGCATGGGGCGGAGCAGGGAGGAAGAAGGGAAGAAAGATGGATGGAAGAGAGAGAGGGGGGGGAAGGGTGGAGGGCGAGGCGGGAGGTTTTTATAAGTGCCGGGTGACATAAGCGGGGCGCTTAACCGGAACGGGAGGGCGACCTAAACCTGAGGCGGATTTCCCGTCAACGACTTTACGCGTACAATTCTCCAGGCGCAGGTGCGGTGACAGGCTCGCTCGTGAAAGTGCAGTGCTTGACTCCAGGGCGGACCTCGTTCCTAGCAACGCCCCACTGAACTGGCTTCAGATGCGGTGTCTCCTCGTCCGGTGGTGGATGGCAGGCCGCAGCGATGGCAAGGCTGCAGTGCGCCGACACCGGGACGTCGACTTGGATCTTGCTCCGAGCAAACCACCAAATGGTCAGCATGAGAGTAATGACCACAAGAGCAAACACTAGTGCGCTCAAGGCTGAGTATCCGGTCGTGCACTTTGAGAGAAGCGTCGAGTCTTCGCCATGGAGAATGATGTCACCGTTCTCATCGTATAGTTCGAGTCGGGTGAGGAATATTGACTGCGAGGCTAGCCAGTGCAGGGATCCGGATGTCGCGGTCAGAGGAATTGCCCAGCTGTATGGGAGCTGGAGGTTGTACGTCTTCCGTTGTTGTCCAGAGGGCTTTGAAACGCGAAGCCCTTTTCTGGTAGTCCCATAGCCATTCCACTCTTTCACGAAATGATTTGAGGTACAGATTCGGTTGATTGCGAAGTAAGTGAATGACAGTAGGACATGAGGTATGTTAGGAATGACCGAGTTGAGCAGGATTCCTTTCGAGTCGAAGGACTGGGGCGCAAACGAGAGGATTGTAATCGATTTTGTCCCCCATGTTGGTGCCTGCGGCATGTATTGCAGGGAAACAATCAATATTGCGGAGGTGCTTGTAGTCAAGATCAGGCTATAAAGGTGATTAGCATAGACGGGTCAAATAAGCTGGTTTCTTTGGGAACGAGATGGCTTACACGACTATCCGAGACCACCAAGTATGTTCGATGTTGATTTGAGAGTAGCGAAGGAAATATTCTGTCCATTCTTGGACCTCACAGCCGTCTTGTTTTTTGGCTTTGTTAGAATGACGTGGTACGATCGAATGCCTGTTGGCAAGACACATGCCAGCTGTCGATTCCTCCGGACGGCTCAAGAAGGAGGCCACTGCGTCACCCAAGGTGATCACTCGTCGTTCGGAGGAGTTTCGATATGTGTCATAGATGAGGACACATTTGAGCAGATTGCAGAAGATGACAATGAGCAGAAACACGAGACTGCATTGCACCTGACTGCTCGTCGTAGTGGGTTGCGCAAAGGCATACTGAATCCGCAACGGCCACGGAGTAGCTGGAGCACGACGACCACCAGAGTGTAGATTCCAAAAGCCATCTTCATCCTTAGCACTGAAGTCGAAGATTTTGTCAAGACCAGTTGTCACTGTTGCGTTGATGAAAAGCGGTTCTGGCAATTGAAATGATATCCCAAGATCGGAGAGACCGTGGCTGGCACCGTCAATGGAACTCATCATGGGAAATGATGAATCGTTCGCAGGAAAACTAAGAGTGCCAAACTGTGAAGGATTCCATGATGTTGGTGACGTGATTTCCCAAGTTTCATTGGTAAGGATAATATCGAATCCCACGCGGTCAACAATGAAGTAGAGATCCGTACTATCCGAGACGTATTGTGTGGAGTATCTCTCCATCCACTCATGATTTTCAAGGCGATCCATTGTGTTATTGATCCGATCGATCTCGGATATATTCGAGTTGCTCACGTAATGGATCGTGTAGCTGTGGCCTTTGGTCACCTCAAAAATGGCCGAGTTATAACTATGGTTGATCAGTAGCTGCGGAGATAAATGATGGCACTACTTACCATAAGTGTAACGGGAGCGAAGAAAAAGAAAGAAGGATGAGGATCATGCGGCGCCGTTTGCTGATGTAGCCGAAGTTGTGAAGGCTGAGAATTCCAATGTCCAACCACGTGCCATCTTTATGAGCTGCATCAATCTCAGATCTGGATGGCGCGCAGGTGATTTGCATGCAGTAGCTGCTTGCCGTGAGGAGTACGGTGCTCAGTAAGTTGATCATGATGTGATGAACAGTGCTGACTTGGCTGACATAGTTGCTGTTTCCCTTCGCGAGAGTGCCGATTCCGTCCTGATATCCGTCATATTTGGATGCGCCAACCACAAGCAACACGAAATTTGCGATCAGAACAAGACCGGATGCGCAACATGACATCAGAAGCCCCAAGCGCCAATCAGCTTCTCTGAGCCGTTTTCTGAATGTTCTCACCACGCGGGAGATGCCCAGGATCTCTGGTAGCCTTCTGAGCCAGGTAACGAAGGTGCGCCATCTATCTGCGTTACTTCCTGGGGGTCTTGGGGCAGGTAATGAGCTATTAAATATGCATGAGTAAGTGAATAGCACAGTTTAGGGATATTGTCTTGCCTGGAGAAGGTGTTTCTCTCCAACAGATCTGGAATTATGTATTCCGATTGCTGTCGGGCAGTAGTTCGGTGCATACTTTTGTGTGATGCGTGAATATTTGCTGAAACAGACAAAAGCTGAGAGGTAGCACCCCTTAATATGATCGGCTTATATCAACGTCATGAGCGGTCAGTGGAGCAGCCATACAAGCCGAGTGGCAAATGCAAGGGAGTGTGCAAGCTACAAGTGCACGAAAGTTAGACATTGATGACGCCGACTGGAGTGCGACAATGACGTTGCGTTCCATTTAGGTTGCCTTTTTTTATTTTTTAGAGAACAGATCATGATGTGTAAACTTCTACTCATATGCACAATGTCTTCTTCTCTGTCAAGCAGCGAATAATGGCAATGCCAGTCCAAGGCAGTTGCTTAGCTTTTACTATGTGGCGCCACCAGGTGAGACAGCCGAGCTCCCGTTCCGGCAACCTGGCTTGTCTCAGACTTGATGAAGATGCATCGAGAGACATAAATGGGCACATTTCCACGCTAGTTTTACATTCAGCAGAATTTTCTTCTTCTTGGCTGATGTATGCCTTGTTATCCGATTCGCCCACCGGTGTTCTAGCCCGATCTGAGAGAGGGTCAGCTGGCAGGCTGTCATCCAAAGCCGAAACGTCAACATTGCCTTGAGCCTCTACGAATGAGCAATCAGCGAGAAGAAACCACAATGACAATCCCACCAATCGGTTTAGAAAAGATTGAATCGCTCATAGTATGTACAACTTCACAAATCACCGGACGGCCCCACGGCCTACACCTCGCCCTCCCTCTTCAGCTCCTCAAGCGTTTCCTTCGCATCCTCGACCACATCATACGCCCACAACCACTTCGTCATATCCGCCGGCTTCTCAACGCCCGGGACGAACTTCTTCGCAAGCGGCAACACCGTATCAATCTGACTGAGATCCGTGCGGCCAAAAATCGCAACGGCCGTGCCGCGCGGATACCTCATCGTGTTCCACGCCTTGAGGCGTGCGGGAAGATTAGCCGGCGTCGTCGTCGCGTCGAGCAGCACGCCAAGCGCGCCGGCGTCCTCCATGCCCTGGACGGCGCCTTGGCCGTAGTCTGCAGGAACAAGGGGTCAGGGATATTCGGGTGTGAGAGCAAGGGGTCAAGCGGGTGCTCGGGACCTACGGGATAGCATGTGATGCGCGGCGTCGCCGATCAGGACGAGGCGGTCCTTGTGGTACGTCGGTGGCGGGTCGCGGGTCGAGAAGCTCCACAGCTTCAGGTCCTCGGCCATGGCGACGACTTCTTGCAGCTGCGGGTAGTAGCCGCTCATCATCGTCTTGAGGGTTTCCATCGAGCCTGGGGATGGTTAGTGGGTGGTAGGTGGCGAGGCGACGGGGGAGAGGAGAGGAGGCGCTGACCTGGGCTGTGCCAGCCGCCTTGTAGGTCCGCGTTGGTGTGCTCGGATGGGTGGATGACGAGCAGATTTAACAGCGATCCCTGGCGGCAGGGGTAGATCATGCATTTGAGCTTGGCCTCGTTGTCGAAGATGGCGTCGAGAGTGTTGACTCCGGCGCGTGTGATGAAGGACCGGGTCCGCGGGTTGTTGAGGACCTTCTCGGTCGGCACGAGGAAGCGGAAGCAGTTCTGCCCGGTGTTGATAACAGGTGGCTCGCCGATTACTTCCTTGATCGATACGGACTGTAGACGACGATGAGCTGGAGCGTTGCGAGATGTGGTGCGGGTGCTGTCTTACATGGAGGCCGTCGGCGCCGATGATCAGATCCGCGCTCTCCGTGGTGCCGTCCTGGAAGGTGACCGTGCCTGCCTGCGCGTCCACGGCGACGACCTGAGACGACAAATGGAACGCGGGCGTGCTGGTGCCGGGGATCGGCCGTGTTGCTGCGTCACGTAGGCATGCATGGATGTCGGCCCGGTGCGAGAGCAGCCAGCGAGCCTTAATTCCCGTCTCCGCTTCGAACATACCGGGATCCTGCGGGAGCCGTTAGCACCCGGCACGGGCATCCCACTGGTTGGGCTGACCATGGCAATTATCGGCTGCTTCCCATCTTTTGGTACGACTCGAAGAGCGTAGGCCTGGTTAGGTTTCATGATGTTCTCGTCTGCCTCAATCTGGCGTAGGACGGGCATGACGTTGGGCGGCAGGTTGGCAGCCGCGCCGACCTCGTTCGAGAACGACGATTGCTCGAAAATCTGCAGTGCCACCAAGAATAAGCTTTCCTGTCCTCATGCTGGCTAAATTGCGGGTACCTTGATCTCATGACCGTTCCTTCGAAGAGCTGCTGCGGCCGTGAGGCCAGCTATGCCGCCTCCAACAATGATGATCTTGATTGGCATATTTGCAGTCGGGCAAAACTTAATTTGCAGCAAACTCTGCAGGGCCAAGCCATGTGAGACTTATACCCCTTGTGATCTAGTAGTTATTGCTGTAGGGCATTGGAGCCGCATGGATCCTCAAGAGGTGAAGAGAGCTGTGGAGCCGATATGCTCCACTGCAATTGGGGGGCCTTACCCAACATGAGTGAAATGCTCTATAGATCCACAACAGACACGAGGGGTGTGCGGTTCTTTGATATTCTATATCACCGGTATTTTCTAAGGCCGAGGTTGACCGCACACCCTTTTCGTACGACGTTGTTCCGGAACAAGAGGCCAGACCCTCCGTTCTTCGTCATCGTCAGCAGTGACGTATTTATCTTAAACAATTTGTAACACAAGAGAATTCATCGTATCCAGGCAATGACTCATGCGCTAGCTCTACACCTGAAGAGTAAAATTTCAATGCGTAGGTCTGCGCAGAGATCTTTTATGAGAGCCTTCAGAAAGAGATGGTCCGATTATAGCAGACTCAGCAGAATGGGCTCTGTTCATGATATTGATGAGGTGGAGTGTGTATTGTAAGTATAGGAATTATATTGAAGCTAGTTTGTTGCGTCCATTTCCCTGATTGGGTTGGTAGTATAGAAATAGTATAAACTTCCACTGTAAAGGACGTGGATCTTTCCGACATCATTTGTCAAATTCTCAGAGTAGCCTCATTGACTTAGACTTTCATTGACAACAGTGGAAACTAGAGCTAAATGCTTTTCAAAATGATATGGTCGGGCCTCAACTCATACAAATACATGCAGACGTGGATTTTGCCAAAAGCCACAGAAGTTGATTTGTCTATGTACGCAACTCAGAACATACCCACAATATATGCGTCTTTCCGTCTATCGCTTCAGGACTTGCACTTTACCTTGGAGGAATAATAGGCAGGGTGAGCCAGCTCGTCTCTCCACCGAGCGAGATGGTATTAAGACCAGCAAAGACATCTTCACTCCTATCCACGGGGTGGCTATGTTGAAACGTGCCACAGCCCTGAGTGTCGTGGCCAGCGACCTCAAACACAAAAGTATCGCCCTTCTCCAGCACGACGTTTGTCGGCCAGATTTCGATATCAAGATCATACTCAACGCCCTCCTCCACAGGCTGAACATCCTGCGCGTAATAGTTTCGGTGCGGCAACCACTCTCGGTGACTCGGATGCGACGGATCCGTCTTGCGCAGCGAAGCACGCAGCCAGCCCTTGACGACAGGCACCGGATCGCCCATCGTGCCAGTGTAGAAGATCTCTGCTCCGTCGGTGTTCAGGTGGCGCAGGGTGACAAAGACGTCGATGTCGGAGGGCGCCTTGGTCGCGCCGGGCAGCCGCGAGCAGGCGATGCGCAGGCGCGCCGTGGGGTGGCCGGTGATCTCGGTCGTCTCGGGGGCGACGAAGCGGAACTGGATGGGGTGGCCCTGCAGCGCGTCGTAGCTGATGGAGCCTGCTGAAGCCACCGGTTGCTTTTGGAGGGTCTTATCGGACGTCAGGTAGAAACGCTCGTACCGCGTGTCGGGAAGCGGCCAGTCGGACTCGGCGCGCTCGGGGAGGCCGCGTTCTCTGGCGGCCTCGTTGAAGCCGGTGTCGCCCTTGCGGAGGCAGAGCTGCACTTTGGGCTGTTTTCCGGAAGCCCAGCCGGCGTGGTCGTCGCCTTTCAGGAAGGCGTCCAGGAACGACTTCTGCAGCTCGGCGTTGTGGGCGTAGTAGAAGGGCAGGTCGTGGCGTCCGACGATGAAGCGGAGGAACTTGTGCTGGGAGCCTGCGCCGAGCCATCCGACGACGTTGCCGCGAAGGTGGAGAAGGATGCCTCCCTGGAGGCGGGCGGTAAGCTGTAATGCGCGGACAGAAGAGGCTTTCGGCATGCTTACCCAGTTGGCTACGCTCAGGACCGGGACTTTGATGTCGTCGAGCTTGAATTCTTTCTCCGCGTAGTACTCCTCGTCCCTGAACTTGTGATTTGCCGTGTCGATGGTCTGATCTTGTCTGTTGCGGGCCAACACGTCTTCGGGTAGGTCGCCTTCCAAGGTGTCGTAGCCCCAACCCATCGCCGCTCGTTCGGGACGGCCGTACTGGTTCTTGATAACTCCGTTGTTCCACCAGAAGGCTTGTCCATCGTAGTCAGCGGCCAATTTCTTATGAGAAAGTGCCTGCACTTACAGATGAACTTATCAGACAAGATGCCGCCGTGGCGGACTCGATCTCTGTAGTAATCGCTCATACCCTCCCAAGGAATGATGGCAGCCAGGCCCTTCGGCTGACGGGCAGCAACTCTCCACTGGGTGCCGGCATAGTAGCTGATGCCCAGCAGACCAACCTTCCCACTGGACCAAGGCTGCTTGGCACACCACTCAACGACATCGAAGAAGGCCTCGCTAGTACCCCGGGACATGGTGTCCAATTTACCTGGACTCTGGCCGGCGCCGCGCTCGTCTGCACGAACGACGGCATAACCGTTCTTCGTCCAGAAGCCTGGATCTGGTGTCTCCCAAGCGCCGTGAGGCGACTTCATCTCGGGATTGAGCTCGTCCCAGCTCTTCTTGAAGAAGCGCTCGTAGGGAACATCTTTGCCGTCTTTGGTGAAGCGGTCAGCTGACTGGGTCTGGACTCGTTACGGACAAAGCTTACAGGGACCGTAGGTAGCGATGACGGGAAACGGCCCGGAGCCCTTCGGAAGAAAGACATTGGCGCGGATGAGGCCCTGTTCGTAGGTGTGCAGGGGGATGTCCACATCGCGCAGGAACGCGTAGGGGAAGGACTCGCTGTCCGCGTGCATGAACTTGTTTTCCGCTTGACTGGCCATCTTCGACGATTGCTGTCTTTGGATACTCGGAATCGAATGCCGGTGTCTCGCGCTGGCACATATCAAGCGTTGCGGTTTGGGATATACGTCACCACGTGCTACGCAATACGTCCGTCTCGGCTCCACAACGACAGCTCGGTTCCACAACCACATCACCCCCCTCTTAACTCCGACCCCATTTCAAAGCCCCCGCAGTTCTAGATGCGGATTCCCCGGATCCAGCATACCCCGCAAGGGAAGCTACCTACCTCCTCTGAATGCCCGAGCCCCGCCAATCGCGCAACCCACCTCCCCCTCCCCATCAACGGAAAACAAACCATGGCCACCACAACCACCACTACCACCACCCGCCCCCGCCTCAGCGCCGCCCTCGCCGACTACGAAGTCCGCCAAACCGTCCCAACAGCTCCCACGACCGCTCCTCATCCTCCGTCCTCAACCGGCACGCCGCTGGAGCCGCAACCCGCCGCCTTCAATCCGACCCTCGCGCCACACCCGCTGCCGTACGCAGTGATGACAAACCCGGAGGGCTGGCCGGCGGACACTTTCCGGCGCGTGCCGTCATACCGCCCAGTCAACCGCGGCCTGGACAGGGAGGAGAGGCGGCAGAATGCCGTGTTTACGGTTGTGGGAACGTTCATGATTGCTGGGTGTGCGATGATTGCGGTGAGTAGTGAATGCCTGGTGGGGTGTGCCCGTGCTGATGTGAGGTGTAGGGCTGGTCGAGTGTGTGGCGGAATACGTTTGGGAGGGGTACGGGGTGGGAGATGCATCCTGTTGGTGGGACTTTCTAGGGCTGGGGAAGGGTTCGTGGTTGGGTAGGGGGGTTGGATTGGGCATTTTGTAGCATTTGTTTCATTTTTGCCTTTGAGAATATTCACAACATGGTGATGGCAATGGCTTCGTAGGAAGGAACACTGTGACCAAATAAGTATATGTTTAGCTGGAGTACGCAGTAATCTCTCATGAATAGAGCAGTTATTCGGTGGGTTGCCACAATACAAAAGGTGTCAGGATGTGCTAGCGACTCTTTATCGAACACTGCCCTCTACACACGGAGAATTTCCTGGAAACCATTAATAAATTTCGGGACCAAAAAAGGACTTACATTTGCAATAGACGCTACAGTAGACAAAGTAAAACGAGCTATTGAACAAATAGAGCGGCTTCACTTTCAAGCAGTATTGCTATACGGTTACGACTTTAAGAATCATTATAATCGCGTTTCATTGCTTGGGCTACATACTCGCGAAAGAGACTTACGTGCTACTTAATGACAATTTCAAATTGCTTGACGCCGTCAAAGCGTGACAGAAGAGGCTTATAACATTCAAACTTAAATCCTGAACGCAACATAACCTCAACCTCTTTTTCATGATGGTCCATCTCGCATTCAGAAAGCCGTATGATCCGGTTGTAAAGTCTGGCCGACTGCTGGCTTCGTCCGTATTCCAACAAGCTCCTCCAGAAGTCCGTCACCGCACTAAACCGTGAGAACCTAGACATCTCGAAAACGCCACATCTAGAAAAGCTTAAATCTGATGTAGAGGCATCTTGACGCAGCAAAAGTCCTTCCAAATCGGCATTGCCTGAGAGCAACACTGGAACAGCGAATATTCTATCTCCAGCTTTCGTTTCTTTCGTATCAAGATACATCTCGGCGCCGACTGAAACGTCAACTTCATGGGTTGACTCTGGTCGGAGAATAAGTGTTCCGGTATTACGTGGGCCCTCGGAAACGACAGCAATCGGGACCATATAGCATCGTGCCTTGATGAATCCTTCCGTTGCAGTGTATCCCTCGCGACGTGAGGAGTCCTCGGCATGCGCCTCTAATATATCCAACACGATGTTGTTCTCACGCCGTTTCCTGTAGCTTCGCTTGGTCTGCGTGGATATCGATGTCTCAAGTAAGGAGGCCCAACTCCAGGAGGGTGCAAAATCGTGGACCGAACGCTTTCCAAAAGATGGCGAGTCCCCCAGACACTTCCCCTTCCGCTATAGTAACTGAACGGCCAAATCATCTTTCCAAAGTCCAGCCAAAGGCGTACCCAGACTGAGCTCAAACCTTCTAACAATACCACCCATAGCTACCAGTCGGTCGGTGTCGTACGTAAGCTTTGATGCAGAATACGCCTTAACGAAATCATCCCAAGCTTCAGAAATGTAATACCCATCAAAGAGGAGAGAAATTAAACCCCGGGACTTGTCGACTTGCAGCTTGTTTAGAGTCTTGTACCCTGGCATCCGAAGAGCGGAAATTGTCGAATTACCACATGGGAAGCGTTCACAGGCCAAGAAACTGTTACACTCCCAAAAGACTTGCGAGAGACCGAAGTGAATCGTCCTTGGCGCAAGCATTCGCTCCTGGAAAACCCAAGCTCTACGAGACAACGGGCATCGTAAGAACTCTATCCAGACCATCCCATCGTTGACACAGACCTGGTCAGGAACCTCTATATGATGAGTAAGTATTCTAACGGCACGACTCTGGTCCATCCGCCGTCTGGACAGGAAACATCCCTCTGCTGAATTGAACGCTCCGGACGCGGCAATGTTGCAAAAGGAATTTCCATAGACCGAAGGCATGAGGGCGGACTCTGTAACCCAGTCCTCTTGAGAGTCCTGAATAATGCAAAGAGAGTCGATCCATAAATATCGGATGCCCAGGACTCTTGTGAACGCAATAGCATCAAGGAAGGTTTTCGGTAGGGCTGAGACAGATATTGCGTCGGTATACTGTTTCCAGTTGTTGCTGCTCAGATTATAATCCCGAGACTTGGAAGTCCCCCAGCAATGACTCAGTGTCATATACTTTGTGTTTGGTGGAATGCTATCCCCTTGCACTAGCTTGATAAACTGGCGCCCGTGAGAGACATCAAGATCCAGGAGTCGGGATGGGCGGACTGATGTAGTGAATGTACTACATTCTCGATGGGTAACGGAGCAGCAGTCTATCCAGCCCCTGATAAGCTCTAAATTCCTATTGGAGATGGAATTCCGAATGGGATCCCTGGTAGGGATATTAATAGGATCATGACTGGGCTGGTGGAATTCTGCAAGATTTATCGCTTATATACCATTAGCAAATACTCCCACAGAAAGAAGGAGGTTCGAAAAAACGTACCAACTTGCTGCTTTGTAGGGATCATACGCAAGGAACCGATTTTCAAATCGGATGCAGAGCTGTCCGGCTGCTTAATGCGTGCAAAAACCCTGATCGTCGTCATACGGTTCGGAACTTCCCATTGCCGGACACAATGTTTTGGTGTTGAAAAAACAAGGCAGACCCATTCCGCTCGGTAATCCGGCGCAGTACTATTGCTTGGGTTTTCGACCATATCCCAGATTATAGAGCACAGCTGGCACAGCTTTGAGGATCTCTCGATTTTTGTCCAGTCATTCAGACATAGTTGTCTATCCCGGAAAACAGAAAAGAGGTCGCTGTGATCGAACAGCCTCTCCTCCAAAAGGTCACAACACCACTGACAAAGTGTGCCATTAGAGACTGATATAGGTTCCATTTTCGTCGGATCCATAGCGATGCAGTTTTCTTTCATGTCCTGAAAATAATGCTTTTCCAGCCTGGGGCGATGTCTCACCGAGGGTAGGTCATTGTACCGTTGGGTACGACGATCCATTATGTAAACGGGGTTGGATTACGGAGATAATAGCAAACAGACAAAAATGAAGAAGTTGGAAACTTTGGGGTTGCGTAGTATGTAAGAAGGGGGTGTATGAAGATAAAATCAGTGATCTAAAAGTACACAGAGGTTACAATAATCATAGTTGTTTCTTGGCGGGCGGGGTTTGAAAGCGTGGCTTTCATGCATTGGTCCAGTCTCACACTTCTTTGCCTGCACATTCCTTGTCTACTCATGCAAGACGATTACGGAAGCTAAACGCATATATACTAGCGCCTTGAAATGCTTAATTTCCGTCTCATTCCCGTTGTTCTGATCCTATAATTGTCTAAATTATAGTAGCTTTTGATTTGCAACGCCCACGAACTTTAAGGGAGTACTATTATAATCAACGATATGTAAGCAATTGCCTCTCTCTAAGAGAATTCACACGGGTCTTAATCGTAGTCTGATCCCGTTATAGGCCACTGTCGAGCAAATAGTGGTTGATAGAAGCTTCGTACTTAGGAACGATTGCGGCAGGCCTACATGTCAAATTGAACGGGAGGATATCATGCATGTGGAGAATCTCTAGAAAATATTTCGCTCGCTCTGTAATGGAGGAATTTTAGTTTTATATCGTTATCAATAACACCGCTGTCATGATTAACCGGTGCATCGACCAGGTAGACTGTAAGAGCGTTCATAGGCCTCGGAGCACAAAGCGCCATTGCATTCTACTCCCACGCCCCAAGCTGGAACTGAGTATTACACATATTCACCAGCTCCCAACACTCCGCCAGCCTTGTATTCGGCCCCACATCCTCCGGCGCCCCCGCCGCCCCCGCTACAAACAAATTCGCCATATAATGATCATCCGTCCCATGCGCATCCCTATACCTCGGATGCTTCATCAACCTCGTCATCGCCCTCCTCAGCTCCGGGCCCCTCTGCTTCAGCACCGCATCCTCCAACGCCTGCCGGAACTCGAGCGCCCACGGCGCCGGCGGCACGGGCTGTGCAAAGTTGTCATAGAACCGAAACATATCCAACCAATGGTTGCGGTACAAGTTATGCACCGTCCCACCACTCCCGATCAACAACGTGTCTTCCCCCCGCAGCGGCCGCAGCGCCGCGCCGACGCGCGTGTGAAAATGCGGATCGCACCGCGCGTTCGCCGACACGATGACGGTGGGCGGCGGGACGCAGTGCGGGAACATGCGGATCAGGATGATGAAGGTGTCGTGGATCCAGTCGAACGTTGGCGCGGGCGACGCGGGGATGCCGGCGGCGCGGAGGAGCGAGAGGACCTTCTCTCCGCCGGGCAGGTCCGGCGTGACTTTGTACGGCAGGTAGCGGTCGTCGCGGACGGCGCCGACGGGGAGGAGTTGTGGGGTGGGGTTCATGCTGACTTCGACGCCGTCGCCGAGGCTCTCCCAGTGGGCGCCCTAGGTGGTAAAACTTCAGTAAGGGAAGGTGCCTGTGGTGGTGGAAGGGTTTGCGGACGGAACTGACCATTATCACGATTCTCTTTATGCCGCGCCGGAGAGCTTCGTCGCCTGCTGCTTTCCAGGCTGCTGCTGGGGCGGATTCCTCTCCTAGCATCATGGTGGATCCATGGCTGAACATGTAGACTGGAGTGAGAGCTGCGGAGAATTAGCCCGAGATTCGGCCTGATCGTTGGAATGAGATGGGTTTGACCTTTCGCCATGATGAATAGTAAGCAATGTCAGTTCTGTATCTCTCTGCCAGCCGCTCTCTGCTTTCTCCCCACATGGTCAACTATATCATCCGTTTTTGAGCATCCTGGCATTTCCCATTTCGGGGTTGCATAACTGCTCGCGCCTATTGTCCGGTCTCGGCCGAGAGCTGTGGAGCCGAAAAGCTTCCCCGACTTGCTTAATCGGGCCGTACCTCAGCCCCGGGTCCGTGTTTCTGGACACAAAAAGGAGAATGCTAGGTGCAGTGGCAAGATCTGAGCAAAGGAAAACGGAAGGCACTATGGCAACGACTGACGTGTGGAAGACAGTACAAGCCTCTTGGGTCGAGGGCAGACTCGAAAATGTCATTGAGCGGAAGAAGCAGCTGGCCGCCCTTCACGGCAATCTGACTCGTCTGCAGAAGAAAGGTGGGCTGGACAGCAAGTTCGGTGAGTAGTATATGTGTGTTCTGCTTCATGTTTTTTTTTTTTTTTTTGTCATGCAGACATGGCTCATTCTTGCTGGCAGGTGCCCTCAAGGAACTGGATTTCATCATCTCCGCCGTGGCAGAATTGCACAACAGTCTGGACATCCACGTAACTCAGAATACTGAGAAGAGCCTTGTGGTCGGGAACAAGACCACAACGTTGCTGCGGCCGCTGGGCGTGGCGCTGATCATCGGCTCCGAGGCAGCGCCGCTTTCGTCCTGCCTCCTACCATTCGCTGCGGCGCTGGCAGCAGGCTGTCCTACGGTTGTTGCAGCACCGGGAGGTAACAAGCAAGCGGTATCACATTTGCGAGAGATCGTGGGAAGTGGAATAGATGGCGAGGCATGCGTAGTCACTGTCATCGATGGGCAGGATGATGAGACTGTGTGGACGCGGCTGCATTTTGACGTCGCCTCTATTCCTGACTCAGATCCAGAAAGTACAGTAGCCAAAGCACTCCGCCAGGCAAATCCCTTCATACGCATTCTTCAACCTCTCCCAGGCCACCGTATCGCAGTTGTGGACAGGAGTGCAGCCAATCTTGACCAAATCGCAGCCCAGCTGTCGAGAGCCGCAACGTCGCACCGGACTAGCATTCCCAAGATCATGTTAGTCGATGAGTTCACAATTAAGGCTCTTGAAGCTTCCTTGAGCTCTTTCGCCAGTAGGTCGGAGGCAAAGTCGAGCTTTGCGGAAATTCTTTCGGGAGCTGGAGCGGCCAAAGACAGCAGCTCATTTGCTTTAAAACTGACTGGGTAAGATTCTAGTGAACATTTTATAATTACAGATCACTCTAACGCTGTAGGCAGAAATGAGTTTGGGGAGGCTATCGAGCTTCTTTTCATTCCCACAACCAGTATGGAAGACTCGATCAGTCTAGTCGAGAAGATGTGAGTTTCCAAAGCCTGATTCATTCGACATGATTAATAAAATGTCCAGCAATCCACGAATCAAATCGCCGGCAGCCTACATTTTCGCGGGAGAAAAAGAGGCAGTTTATCTGGCCACTTTCATCCCCAGCCAGCAAACCTTTGTCAACTCCGTCCCTCCCGTGGTTTTACGTAAGTCCCCCAATGTCAAGGCATATCAAATATACTAAGCTGTCGTATTTCTAGCTGTTCCGCGCCATCACGTTGGTAGTTGGAACACACCGTTCGACGTGAATGATTTTTCCGAGGTGCAGTGCGTCGCAAGTGGGTCACTCGACATTCCAAAGGTTCCGTTGAAACTTTATGCGCAGCCCTTGGGGGGACATACCAGTTACTTTTCTCAGGGCCTGGCCGTTGGATTACTTACCTCTCTCGCCATGTCATCTGCGATTGCTTTTGGGCTGTATCGGTTTTTGTAGCATGTGAAAGTGCTAGTTGTGTTGGACGGCCCACATATTCCGCTTGATCGCTAGCAGATCCCAACCAGCTGGTGTAGTGCAGCACAGTCCACTTTAGTACGAAACATAATAAGGCCGACCAGCCTAAAGCTTTGGCAGCCTGAACTGACACGTCTAATAATCGCTCGGCCGGTCGGCCTGAAGTCGCTAACTCCGTTTCCCCACACTTTCCCCAGGCTTATAGGCAGCCACAAGCCAGCTCGCCCCATGCTCTAAGCCACGAGACCCATCAAAAGCAAAAAAGGAAATGTCAGAGACTCGCTTCCAATGCCCCGAATGCAGTGCAACGTTTGCCCGCGAAGGCAACTTACACCGGCACACGCGCATACACTCTCCCGACCAACATTTCATTTGTGACATCTGCCTCGACAGCTTCAGCCGCGCGTATGTGATTAAAGAAGACGCTCTATCTGGGTCCCGAAGATGCTGACTTTCATGATGGAGCGACGCTCTCTCCAGGCATAATGCAGCGCGCCACCCTGGTCTCGAGAGGACGCGACCACAGGCATCCCGCCATCCGCGTATCACACAAGCATGTCGACCATGCAGCCAATCGAAACTTCGATGTGACGGCGGCCGGCCATCTTGCCAGCGATGTTCAAGACAGGAGCAACGATGCTCCTACCCGCCACAGCGGAGGCGTCAGATGCAAGCATCAGAGTCTCCGCAGGAACCAACATCCATCTTGCCGTTTGAGTCTTTTCCTACTCCTAGTCTAGTAGGAAATGACTCTACACATGTACTTCTTGGTGATGAGACTGATTTCAGCACCCTGGAGCTTTTCGGCCTCGACAGTGTGATGGTGAACGATTGCGGCTGGCCAGCAGACTTCAGCTTCCTCCAACAACTATCCGACTCGGTCATTGAGCCTGCACTGACGCAAGACTCAGCTGCCGCGCAGTTGCCATCTCCAGAGTCACTCATTGTAAGTAGCGATGAACGATGTTTGTCGCCCAAACCGTCGGCGGTGGATCTGGAGCATCGCCGATATATGCCTCGATCAGCTTGCATCGGCCTGAGCTTCCCGGACTTCTCGCACGTGTCGCCGCAAGACATTGCTCGAGAAGATTCAGCCCAAGTGCCAGAGGTTCAGGCATCAGACCTCAGCATCATATCCGGTTTTGCTGAGAAGCTGCAAAATGCAGCCTTCTATCCGCCCTTCCAAGCCCTCCGCATTCCCCCTCCTGCGGTGATGAATGTCTTCGTCCAGCTATACTTCGAGCACTTTCATCCAATCTTTCCGATGCTGCACCAGCCTTCCTTCGGGAAAGGAGCTCCTCGACCTCTCCTCACCTTGGCCGTGGCAACAATCGGAGCCCGGTATTCGAAATTAGAAGGCGCCAGCCAATGCGCGCTTGCCATGACCGAGCTTCTCCGGCGATTGGCCATGCACCTTGTGAGGGAGTCTAATTCCTCGCCAGCTACTCTCCACGCTGACATTTGAGTACAAGTGCGAAACCGATAATCGCTTCAGTCGACAGATAAGCCTGCTCCAGTGCATCGTCCTTCACCACCTCTCCGGACTTCACTCCGGCGACCGGCGGCTCATGGAGGTGGTCGAAATTAACCAGTGCATCCCCGCCTCACTCGGCAGGCGAACGGGGCTGTTCCGAAGCGGGTCGAGCCTCAGTCCAGACGCGGTCAGAGCCATTCCTCTCGAAGACCGGTGGCATCTATGGATCAAGGAAGAGGAAAACAGGCGGACTAGTCATGCCATGTCAGTGAGTTCTGCCCTCTGCAACTTTCAGCCACCCCACCCCTGACGCCGTCCATAAGGTCCTCGATCACCACATCCGCCTCCACGCCCAAACCACCTCCGTCATCTCCAAGGAGGAACTAAGAATCGAGCTACCCTCCCACGAAGACATGTGGTCCGCCCCATCCGCCCTCGCCTGGTCCAACACCTTCCAAGGTCCCTGTACGTCCGCACCCTCCCTCCTGCCTTACCGCCCCCCAGTAGTCCCCCATCCCCACCGCCCCGTAACTAACCCGCACCAGACCCACCCCCACCCCCGAGCATCCGCCGGCTCGAATCGCACCCCAACCCCTCCAGCCTCTGGCCGCGCCTCGGCCACCTCGCCAAGCTCTCCGCTATCCTCAACCTTAGCCATGCTCACCACCAAACGGCCGACATTTCTACCAGTATATTGGACTTCATCCCCACCCTCGAACTCCCAGCCGACGCCTCCGCCCCCGCCCCGCACCGCCGCCGCGCCGTCGACGCGCTACTCGCGTTCCACTGGGGGAAGCTGGCGCTGCACTGCCCAGTCAGAGACGTCATGGCGAGCGTATTTGGTGCGATCGCTGAGCATCACGGCAGCGGCGGGGGCGGCCACGGTGGCTACGGGAGCGGGGCCGAAGAAACGGGGGACGAGGGTGACCAATATGGTGAGCACTCGGCCTGCACCCTCCTCACCTCCAACCGCCGCCGCGCGCGCGCCTGCGTCCGACACGCGGCGGAGGCGTACGGCCTGCTCCGGACGTACCGCTCAGCCGCGTGCAGTGCGCCGGCTGTGCTGCTGCATGCGGTTGCTGTGTTGTGGCTGTATGCGCGGCTGGAGGAAACGGGCGGCGGCGGAAGCGATGGCTGCCGCGGAGGCGGTGCAGCGGATGAGTCGGTGGTGGTGTATCTGGATGAATTGGGTGTTGGAATGGGAGGCGATGCTGCGGCGGCGGCGCTGGACTTCTGGGTCGAGTGTGGGATTGGGCAGCCGCGGCTGGCGGGGGTGGGCGTTTTGAGGACGGCGGCGGGGCGGAGGAGGCTGCTGGCGGAGGCGGAGACGCTGTGTGAGGCGATGGGGGCGTGGCCGACGTGCTGGCTGTACAGGAGGATCTTTCGGAGGTTGGGGGGCGTGGAGGGGGAGGGGGTGGTGTAGCGGGAATGTTGTTGGTAGGGGTGCCGCTAGAGATTACGTTGTGGGGGGCCTTCTGTGTAAGATAGGCTAGACTGAATCGAACTTGTGCTGAAAGAGAATGCTTCATTGCGTGAAGCCGCTGGAAATTGGTGTAGGGGACACGTTCGTTGACGACAGCTGCCTGGGCAGATCACTCATGTGCCACTGCGTGCAGTCATCTTTGCAACCGTTTCAATTCTTTCCTATAGCAGTTTGTGTGCAGTTCTTTCCTTGAAGATCGGCGATGAAGTACGAAGAGCCGCACGTAGTATTTTTCAGAATAGAAGTCCTACTTAGGTATAGTCCCACCACTGAGTGTATATAGGCGTGCTAATCTCGCTCTATTCAGACGATTCAATATGCTACCAGCAATCGAAAACTGATGTCGGGGAGTAAACAGTGTTATTTGTTTGGCCGAACAATTCGGCTCCACAGCTCGGCTCCACAACTTTAATCCGTAACTCCACATAATCAACAACGGGATCAACAAACAGAACGATAAGCTGTCTTAAGGTCAAACATGCAAGGTCCATGGGTCTTCAGAAGCTTTCCTGTGTTTATCCCGGCCTCAATACATGATAGACGGGTGTCTTCTCTCCGATCGTGAATTACTGCAATATCGTGCAGGGAGAGCTTCCACACGTTGTTCGTGTTCCGAAAATACATTGGCCAGCATTTCTCTCAGGTTAGATATCTTTACAGTACAAGAACTACCCATCGTAGATCAGTTTACAAAGGGCCTACTCCTTGTTAAATGAGCGCTATGGTCTCGCACTTTTGGTCCTCATACGCCTCCCCATACATGATTCCGTGAATATAAGCTGCACCTATCAGCTTCCACTCACACCCATCTTGCCGTAATACCAGCGGCATACTTCCTCCCCGACAAAGCACGATCTTGTCTCCCACCATGCAACCAGCGGGTGCAAGACCTAACCGCCCAGACACAGTCTTAACCATCCTTCTACCCGTACAGACAACCATCCTATCCAGAAACGCCAATCGAAGAACTTTTTTCTTCCTCAGTCGCGGCGCCAATATCATAGCGCTGGCGATGAGGAAACCAATCACTAGGAAACACACCAGACGAAATCGTGCTAAAGAGTACCTGTGCAGGGTATTATAGTAACTGGTGTCTCCCCTCAAGGCATGCCATTCATTCCGGACGTCATCGCGCTCTTCCTCGGAACATCCACCAATGAGGATCTGCCAATACACATCGTCGGTGTCCTCCCCAGTATTGTATTTCGGGCCGTGAGCCATGATAAGCGATTTCCAGTCCGCAAGGGCTTCCAGAAATCTGGTTCCGTCTTTCAGGGCTTTCCTTGCTGGAATCAATCCTCTTACTTGATTTACGCGAGGCGGATGCTGAGGAAGCGCCGTCGTGGCAACAGTGTCCAGCACAAAGCCCTTCAAGCTGAGCTTTTTCAGGTCATCCGAGAAAGTAGGTTCCGACTGTGAAAGGCAGGCAGCCCTGAATCTGGGACCCCGTTCCATTCTCGGCCTGCTGCTTATGTTGTGCCATGGCATCAAACACAGCGCTGTTGGAATCGGCGAATCCTTGTAGTCGCGGACCCAGGTTGGCAATTTCGGATTTTGTACCTCTGCTTCCTTTTCAGAATTCCTGTTCACCGCGCAAAGGATGTCCAAATTTCGAGACTGCCTGAGAATAGCCACCGTGGTGTTGAGATAAGTCGTCTCGGGTGGCGATCTGTAGTCAATCTCGACGAGCTTGCGATCTTGCGCCGACGCCAGGCCGAGAAGGGAGAAGACCTTGTCTCTTGGATCCGAAGCTCCGTAGTGCGAGAATTCAATGAGCATGCTCGTCAGACTCTTGGGTTTTCCGTCCAGTCTTGCTTTCCGTACGTTCTCCACCGACGCGCCGAAGGTCGAATAGTTGCCCAGCATGTGGAGCACGCCGGCCAATTCGAAGGCGCAGGTGGTAGCAGCAACCAGCCGCGACCACGCGATCTCCGAGTGCGAACAGTGTACGACTACCTGTTTCGACACGGTGACTTCCTGAATCACCCAGAGGCGGTGGAACCACTTCCGCGATAGGATCAGCCAAACCGCTTTCCAAACAGGGGCTGATATCACGGAAGGCAAGGCCAGTTCGGTGACCTCTGCGCGTGAAAGCTCGAAAAGTGTTCGTTTGTCGGGCGGTGTGCGCGCTCGTCGCTTGTCGTGTGCAGTCGCCAGTGTTTCCAACAGTTTAAAGGCCTCGTCCGGGTCGTCATTTTTCTGATTGGGCTCCTTGTTTCCCAGCCATATCAGCGTCTGGTCGGCGTTCTCGTATATCTCGCGCATCATGCTGACTTGGAATGCCCGTTCGTTCTTGTCGTCTTGGTTTATGCAGATCTGGTCTGCCCACAGAAATCTAGACGCATCCGGTTTCCGAAAGCGCATCAGGGCGCAGTGTAGACTTTCTGTGATCTTCGACCTGAGGCCGTCGCATACTATTTCATGCGTGAATTCGGAGCGAGTCGGACCCCAGTGGTAGGATATTGCTTCATATTGTGGATTGTCGGCTAAAAAGACGTGCTGCAGCTTGCAATTGATCTGGCCAGTTCCTGGGAGCAGTTCCAGCCTGCGGAACGGTCGGTCCATGTTGCGGTCGAGCGATTTATACGGGAAGTCCTTCATGATGAGCTTCGCACTTGTTAAACTGCATAATACTCTGCATTGCGCGGCGCTAAGCTCCAGATATCATCACGTTTCTAAAGAAAGGACCTTGGGCCTAAATGTCTAAACCCCGCGATGGTGGGTTGTCTGGTAATTATTGCTTCGGACAAGATGCATCGTGTGTGTTGCATATCTTGCCGGAATCGGACTCACATCCGGCGACCAGCTTCCATTCCGCTGACGGTTAGGGCGCGCTGATAGTGGTTCACATAACGTGCAGGTGGGGGCCTCACGAGCGGGGTGCTATTGGACGCCACTTACGTAACTCGCGGGGTTTTGTCCCTGGTCTAGCTCCCCTGAGAATGTTACAAAGCTGCTGTCGGATACGCATTGAACGAATTGAGCGAGTTGCATAACACCACCAAACAATCTCTTCTCAAAGAGTGGGGAGGGGGCCAGCTGACTACCAACGCTTTTCCGCCAGCCATTCACCTGCAAAACACGAGTAGTATTCTCCTTTAAGTTGGTTCAAACAATGGATGCGTTCTGTGTTTCTACATGAACCCTTTTAAGACCGCGCTTTGTTGTTCTGACGAAATATCGAGAGCAAATCGTACAACTGCAACGCTGGCTGTCTGTTTGGCCTAGAGATTGTTATCTTCTCAACTGTCCCCTTCGCCTAGGTTTCTGAAGCCAGGGGTGCCCCAAATCTATTATTTCGTTATCTCGAGCAAATCCAGCCAGCCATGTCCATGCTTACGTTCAGGTCAGACAATTCATCATTCCTCTTAGAAAATTTACTGAGAAGAATTTAATCCCGCAATTCTCCCTCAGCCTCTTTTAATGCTCTCCAAAGCCGGCTCAAGCCTTCTCTCAACGCTTCCTTCCCCAGGGTGAAGGTGACTCGGAACCAGCCAAACTCTTCGGGCATGTATATGTGGCCGGGTGCAATCATGACCCCGTTCTTGATGCAGGTATCCGCAATGCTCAATTCGCGCTGTTTATAAGTGTGAGACTCAGGAGAGGCGAGTTGGAGTGCCTTGTAGTCTGTCTGCTGAGACCACGACTTTGGCAAAAGCAAATGACGGAGGTCCACCCAAATGTACAGACCCGCATTCCTGAAGATCCATTAGTTCAGATAAGAGATTACATTCAAAACTTACGCTTACTTGCATCTCGTAGTAGCGTATATCATGTTCATGGAAGAACGAAGTTGCGATGCGGTAATTCTCCTCCATGAGCTGCGTCTTCTTACGCATGAAGTTTTCCAACCATTGCCTGTCCTCCAGCATGGTGGCCCAAACATCTTGAATTATGTGCGATGACCAGGAGAATATGCTAATCAGAACAACCCATCAGCAAGATACATTTTTGGATAAATCGAATGTTTGGCACGAACCCAATGCTTGACATGGCGCCGATTATGCCTTGGTTACTCGTGCAGACGAAGCCCATGCGCAAGCCATTGGCACAGAAGTCCTTGCTTGCACCATAAAGCACATGTACGAGGGTTGGGTCGATTGCATCGCCGAGATCGAGGGAGAGTACGGAGGTAAATGGAATGGGATTAGGGATCGCAGGGTTGGAGAAAACGGACATGGCGTAGATTTCGTCGGAGATGAGGTGCAACTGGTGTCGCCCGCAGAATAAGGCGAATTCTTTCAAGGTCTCAGGGGGCTGGTGCTTGAAATTAGCATCTAAACCCCGACGGCTAATTTAACTTGAAGAGTGACGAATACTGACGTAGCATCTTCCGAGCGGATTGTGGGGACTAGATGTGTCAATGTCAATACATTCTGGCCAGATTTTGCTGGACGGCGAGAACTCACTTTGAAATCATCAAAGCACAGATCTTTATGCTGCCAGCTTTTGCCTCCTCAATAGCCGCTTCAAGGGCTCTCCTGTTTACGTCAGGACGGAATAGATCATTAAGCTCTGAGAATCCCTCTATTCCCTCGTACGGGACCCCGATTATTCGAGCATTACTCCGATTTAGGACATCCACGTCGAATCCATTGTAGTATGGTCGTGGAACCAGGATTCCATCTCCATCATCGCAAATTGACCAGGTTATTCCATCTATGGCACTGGCCAAACCAGGAGTGATGAAAAGATTGTCCGCCGTAATGGTTTGGCGAGACCGAAACCCGTCATTCAGTAATGTGGCTGCGGCATTTCGAAGACGACGTGATCCGCGCGGGCCTGTGCTGTATGTAACATGGTCGATAGGTAGAGCGGAAGTCTATTCAGAAAATATAAGTAGGCGAACGTATGGTCTGCAAGGCGAATTGACCTTGGAATTGATGAAATCAACCATATCCGCATGCAAAAGACTGTTCTCAGCCAGGAGGAGGATTACCCTTCACAAGTCAGCACTGAATAATTTCTCTTTGAACAAAGCGAGATGAACACACATTCCGTCAGGATTTTGTGGCGACCATGGATTGGCCATGGACTTTTCTCGTGGGCCCCATACGTCTCGGTGGACAAAGTTGCAAGCACCTCTCTGCGACAAGTGATACTCCACTCTTACCGTGTCGACTGGGTCGTCTTGGCTAGCAGACATTGCTGTTCCGATGCAAACGTTAGAATAATCCCGGAATTGGCGTGGCAGATCCTGGAACTTCTCGGTCTGTACTTGATTGATGGACCTCCGAACTGGAATCGTCCTTACTTTGAAGGTCCTGAGGAAATTAGTAGAGAGGTGACATCTGACATGTGTCGGCCATCATGGTGCAATCATATTGCGTGTCAAAAGGCAGAAAATGTGGGGAAAGCGAACGTTCGACCGAGGCGAGGTAAGAACTTTTTGCACTGACGTGAGTCGCACGATTGTCCAATCATTTCGATTCAGGAATCTTACCGTGGTATTTTGTAAGAAATCGAGGGTTCATGATTACCTAAAGCATATCTCATATAGCCGAAGAACCAAAGGTTTCTCCAACCAAATTGAACCATTACATTCAGTGTGCCGAGGCCTTACGACATTTCCAGTGTCACGTCTTCCTGCCGGTTTCCTTCATCAGCGAGCATTTACCCCCAAATCTGGTACAAAGTTCTGGTAAAACACCATACTGCCGCGACTGGGATGAGATGTCCAGATCTCATATCTTTCGACAACGCGAAGATTGAACTCCTTCTTCCAATAGCTGTTTCAAAGCCATGAGCATTTCCTCATCCATCCAAGCGAGCAAAACGACCCCCTCGTGTCCATGCTTTCCGACGACCGTCAGCAGCACCCGCGAGCAACATCGCACCAATAACCACAACGCCGGTTGCGATCAGGAGCAATTCTCGCAGGAATACACGGGCAAAGACGTGAAAAGTGGCGGCCACGCGATCGGGGAATTCAAACATAATCCGCATGAAGTCGCGTTCGAAGGTGACCATGATCCCATGTGCCCCCGAAGCATGCCATTAGCGCGGAAGTGGGCTATTGTAATCATCATCTGTACCGGAACATTATGCGTGTAAGCCCATGCCATCTCCTTCAAAGTGCGCATTGCCTCACTCGAGTGAGCGGATAATGGATGTCTTCAGACGATAACTGCTGACCACGCAAGTGAAGGACATGCGCCAGCTCGATTTACACGACCACGTATACGCAGATGAATACCGAGTTCCGCACGCCATCACTCGTCGCAACGGTTGGACTGTCGTCGTTTGTGCTGGGAATCGCCCTGGGACCGTTGTTCACCGGCCCTTTGAGCGAGTACTACGGACGAAGGCCAATCTACCTTATTTCCTGGACCATGTTCACCATCTGGACCATCCCATCAGCCGTTGGCAAACACATCGCGTTGCTGATTATAGCTCAGTTCTTTAACGGGTTCGCTGGTGGTACCTTTTTGTCTGTTGCGGGAGGAACCGTGAGTGATGTGTTCTCGCGCCATGAGATTCAAGCGCCAATGGCTCTCGTCTCATCCGCCCCATTTGTTGGTCCGTCCTTGGGCCCGGTGATTGGTGGCTTCATCAATTACTACGCATACTGGAGGTGGACCTACTACTTCGTCATTATTTGGTCCACAGCCCTGTGGATTGCAATCGTCGTGCTGGCCCCAGAAACCTATCATCCAGTCATACTGAGGGCGAAGGCCACAAAGCTCCGCAAGGAAACAGGAGACGACCGGTATAAGGCGCCGATAGAGAAAATTACCAGATCAAACAGGAGGGTGATCGCACTTTCGCTCCTGCGGCCGCTGCAGTTTCTTTTACTCGAGCCCATGTGCCTCTGCCTGAATATTTACTCGGCAATTTTGCTGGGTATCTTGTACCTGTTCTTCGGATCCTTCCCCTTGGTATTCCGAACGAACCATGGTATGAACCTGTGGCAGGTTGGTCTAACGCTCCTGGGGATTATTGGTGGGATGCTTGTAGCAGCTGCTAGCAATCCTTTATCGTCTCGTCTTCGTATGCATCTACTACAGAAGCAAGGAAAAGGCCTTACCCGAGGGGAACCGGAGTACCGACTTCCACCAGCCATCCTGGGTGGTCTTCTTATCCCCACTGGCCTGTTCTGGTTCGGCTGGACAACTTACCCGAGTATCCACTGGATGGTACCCATACTTGGATCAGCTGTGTTTGGATGTGGAATGTTGCTTGTATTCACCGGAATTTTTACGTATCTTGTACGCCAGCCCTCACCTTTGCGAATGATTTAAACAACTCCATATGCTGACTATCTATACAGGTAGATGCTTACCCACGATACGCTGCATCAGCCTTGGCCTCCAATGGTCTCGTGAGGTGCTCCTTCGCAGGTATGTCGCGAGCGGGGCTTCAAACTTAGTGCATTGCTAACAATGAGTGGATCAGCCGCATTCCCTTTGTTCGGAATTCAAATGTATGAGGGGCTTGGGTACCAGTGGGCCACCAGTGTCTTTGCGTTTCTTACGGTTGTTATGATGCCATTTCCATGGCTATTCTTCAGATACGGCCAGGTACTGAGAGGAAAGAGCAGATTTGCGGTTGTCACCTAATGCTCTTAGTTTAAAATCTTTAATTACGGAAAGTTTTTAAATGGCTGCTTCAAATCCCCTGCCTCATGGCAATTACCTAGTAGACTATTTATGCAATTTTTTTTTTAAAAAAAAAGGATAACGCATGCTGATAGGTTACATTCACATGTTAATGAATTGGCAAGACTTAGATAACTGCACTACTCACGAGACATATGTGGAAAACTTGGTAAAAGTAGACTCTACAAAGCTAAATCGGCGCTAAATTCACTAAGATATTACAGCGTATGTTACTGCAAACCAGAAAAGCGGAAGCTTAGTCACTCAAACCCGAGAGCCCTCGGGATCTCGAGGCGGTTCAATCTCGGCGGGGAACCCCCAAATTGCCTCGGGATCTTACAGGCGACGTCCCACCCTCGCCTTCTTCTGCAATCCTTCCCACCAGTCATGCAATTCGACACACAAGCAACTCCGATACCAATGACCGAAACAACCGAGGCTTTCGACCGCAACCTAGATACGGACATGTCCCCGCCCCATCTTCGCCGAGCCCGAATTGCCTGCAAGGCTTGTAACGCCCGGCGGGTGAAGTGTGACGCTGCCGACGGGCAACCGTGCTGGCATTGCCGCACACGGAGAACGCCATGCGAGTTGATTGAATCGAAACGGGGCAAGTAAGTTAACCCTACTCTCCCTCAAGCGTTGCGCACAGGGACTGAGAAGGCCTTGGCAGGTATGCCCGAAAGAGGCAACGCGTCTCTCGAGACCAAAGTGTGTCTGTAGATGCACCTGCCGGTCAGTCGGTCCAGCCGCTTCTCCTGGCTGGGGCGTCCTCTGAGACAGTTCGCGATGCGGATGCACCTCAGCACCGCGATGGCTCCAATGCAGACACGTTGGTAGGCCGGGTACAGCAGATTCAAGGCCTTGACACGCTCTCCGCGGGGAAAGACCAGCTCCAACCTGTTACAGAGACGCAGAATGATCAATCCAGGCAGACGACCCGTTCTCATGGCACCACAAAGGCTCATCGTGTTTCGTACATCGTCGAGGTCGTCTACAAAGCCGATAATGGTGTCACCGAGTCCTTAAAAGTCCATTACTCGATCCCAGCCTCCATCGTCGAGCCACCAGCTTCTGATCGTGACCGGCGAGTTGGCAAGTTTGTTTCTCTGGCAGAGGCTTTAATCATGCCAGGCGGGGAAGTAGCCAACGAGCTGATCCGCGCTTTCTTCGAGGTCATCCACCCCGCTTATCCGGTATTTGATCGAAAGGAGTTCATGCGGAGGTACCTCTGCGGCGAATCCTCCCCACTCGTTCTTCAGACAATATATCTGCTGGGTTTCACCGTGGGTAGTGAGAGTCTTGTACATGCCGCTGGGTACAATGACCGGACCACAGCAAGAAAGACGCATTATCTTCGGGCGAAGGCGCTGTATGATGCAGATTCCGAGCGTGACCCGATACTGGTCGTGGCTTGTCTTCTGCTTCTTGGCTTCTGGTGGGCCGGACATGACGAGCAGAAAGACACGTGTTATTGGGTTGCCTGCTCAGTGATTGTCGCGCAGTCTTTGAAATTGCATCGTTGGTGTGTCTATCCATACAAACTACCCGTAGCTAATGCTGACAGTGACCTAGCACATCGCGCTCAGTGAATAACACACGGGAAAAGTCCCTGCGGAAGCGAATTTGGTGGTCCATCTACGTAAATCGCTCCCAAGTACAGAATTGTTTCCCCCCGCCGGCACTGATGCAGATAGGTCCGTGATCACCATACAGCTGCGGCTTTCGGCCAGCCATGCCGCATCCGAGACGAGGATTGCGATGTCGAGCCTCTCAATGAAGAGGATTTCACCTTCGATGACGACTACGAGCAGGGTCTCATACCTGCTCAGCAAGACTTCCATGTATCGTATGTCATCGAGATGTCGAAGTTGGCCATGATACGTAAGATGATCCGTAATATCTGGATACCCACGCAGGGGTGCTTACTCGCCGCCATTCCAGTTGGAGATATTCTCACCAAAGAGTTCAGTCCCCGCCGCCCCGAGCCGGGACGGTCCGACACGGAAGCATTGGTGGGGAGGCTCTCACAATGGGAATCTCGGTTGCCACATGAACTCCGAAAAGAGCCGCTCAGCGGATCATTGAATGCGTCCTTCTGGGCCAGCATGCTCCACTTCTCATATCAGTAAGCTACCCGAACCAGTTCGAATGCGAAAGCTTCTATTAACGCGGAAACGAGAAATTACTACATACTCCTCTTTCGACCCAAGTCCATCGAAGTCCTCTCCTCGGCCGAAGCTGAACACGATGTGCGGGTCCGCTCCGCTGCCGATTCGATAACCCGCATGGCAGAGGACCTCCTGGGGAACGGCGCGATCAAGTTTGCACAGATCCACCTGTACGCATCCACACACACACACCTCATTAAAAGTCGTCACATCCTGACCCCACACATAGCGTCCCATCATTGTTCGGCGCCCTGTCCGTCCACACCATCGCCATATGCAGGCGCGATCACGTTCGTCAGCAGCTCGCCGAGAACAAGGCGCGGCAATGCCTGCTCGCGCTGAGCGAGCTGGCGAAATCATGGCCCGTGAAGATCTGGATCGCCGAGGCGTTTGTCGATCTTATGGAGAGACTGACAGGGCAGGTCTCTTCGGGAGGCTCCATTGTCAGCGTGTCGACCAAGACTGCGAGCAGCTGCTCAAATCATCTGACACAGCGTGCAACCACTCCGCCGGCTGCTTCTGCCGGGAACACGACTGGAGCCTCGGTTGTCCTCGAGAAGCTGGATCAGCCTGATCTACACACCTCTGGTGTTCTTCCGCAGACAGCCGGCACCACTGCCTACAGCGACCCGTTTTGGGGCGGCTATGCTGATAATAACGCCTTTGATATAGATTTTCTCCTTCACACCAGTCTTGGACCGGTTCTTTCCGCACCTTTTAGCGGACAGGGCGGCACCGAGGGAGGAAACACCCTTGGTCTTTAGGGGAAAGAGACGCGCGACGCCACTTATGCGTCGGGGAGACGCTGTGCCGCAGCGAGCCGAGCCGAGCCTGCTTATTGTACCACTCTCCATGGGAAGGCAGATATTGCTTCGGGCCGCTGCAATGCGTCACTGCATACATGGGCTTGGATGAAGACGATAACTCAACTCACACGCAGCTGCATAATCGTCTCAATACATTGGAGCACGAGGCAATGTTCCACATCGAGTTTCTCGAAGAGGATCATGAAAAGGCCATTCTCGTCTTCATGGCTGTCACTGTTCTCTTTCTCGTGAGTCACAAATTGTGATGAGCTACATGCATATGGAAACTACCCAATCGTAGACGTAAAAATCTCTGATGCGGCGTTCTACCTAAGCGATTTCGTTGCAGATCATGGGGATTATTATAAAATTTGCCATGCTGATTACTCACACAAGCGATGATTTGCGGCAGAGGTTTATTGATTCATGGGAACATCACAACAGGAATTGAAAGCTAGTAAATGATTATACGGGAGCCGATGAGAATGCGCACACTTTACAGAAATCCCTGCACAGGCAGAGAAATCATGTACGGTGGTCACGGGGGAAATCAGAGACTGCGCACCAGCAGCAGGCCAGGCTTAACGTGGTCTGATTTGTGATTTTGCTTTTTATGTTTTTGCCTGTTTCGGACAAGCCTCTCAGCCCGTGAATTTGCCTTATCAAATGATAATTTGTTATGGCGGAAAAGACACTGGACCCAGTAGGAATGGCAAGCATGGTATTCACGACCAAAGTAACTCGTCTGACTTTTCACAGCCTCAATTCTATTTCGTAGACAAATGTCTACCGACTTTCTATCTTGAACTGCGTTTGCGACTCTAATAACATGCCAAGCATGCGATGTAGGAGATGTGATGAAACGCCCTCCATTTGCAACGTAACTTTGGACGAACTGTTGGGTGTGTTGACTGGGTTCGGAGTTGATGCGCAATGCGCATCATCTTCGTGATGTACCGTCATTACACCACCAGCAGAGAGGTCCTCATAGCCCCCCTCCCAGTGCATGGGTCCGCTGGAATTGAAATTTTGCTCCACTTGGCCTGAGAAGGTATCTTCCAATTTCCAAGGCAGAGCATTAAATGCGTCCATGGTTGGGTGGATGTGAAGATTCGGGTCGACGTGGGAGAGGCCATAAAACATCGATTTATCCAGGCCGACGCCCAGACCGACAATGGAAGTGTTGTCAACACTTGGTAGGACCTCGGTCATTTCAGGCGAGGAGCTGGAGAACGATAGGACGTCGAAATGTGATGGCGAGCCGTTGGAAGAGATGCTGGACCCCAGCGGCTCGGACAGGGATCCCAGGTCCTCCGGGCTGGAGATACCTTGGGGAGTCGGACTTTCGGACATCTTTAGGGTGGCGTTGCTTTCTCTGTTTGGGCTCTGCCGCCGTATAATGATGCTATACCTGTATGCATGTTAACGGTGATTCTGGAAGACAAAAGGCACTGTAAGTCAAGGGCTACGGCCAAACGTACCTGTTCTTGATGTCCGTAGTGGAGCGACGAGGGAAGACCTGCTCCGCAATAGTCTTCCAACTCTTGCCGTACTTGGTGATGGCATCCAGCAAGCATGCGTCTTCTTCCTTGGTCCACACACTGCGGTCGACCTCTGGATCTAAAGAGTGGTTCCACCGCTTCGCACATTCTGGTGGGACAGTTAATATTCCGCGTGAACTAAGAGTAGATGTTAGGATTGTGGAAGGTTGCACTTACGTTCGGCGTTCCTGCTTCCCACCTGCTGTGCCACCTGCGCCCACCTGCAGCCGTACTGCATCACGGCCTCCCGCAGAGCCTCGTCTTCTTCCGGGTTCCAGGTGCCTTTGTTGATACGGGTGAAGATCTTGTTCCACCTCTTCCGGCAGTCCTTGTTGGAGCGGCCAGGTATCCGCAGTGCTATCCGTTTCCAGTCACTGGGCCGACCGTCTTTTGCTGGAACACGATAGACTCAGTAAATGGTCCGGAAGTCCCTGGCAGGGTGGCGACAGCGATTAATACGTACATTGGAGCTCCGCCTCGGTACGGAGTATATCGTCTTCCGCAGGAGTCCACCTGCGTCGGACGACGGGGCCAGTTGAGGCAAGTACTGCGGGGTTCGGGTGCATAGCGCTGTCTTTAATGTGTCCTCTGCTCATGATTATGCTGGCGGTGATGTGTTCTGACTACTAGCGAAAGGTACGGAAGATTTGGAGTCAGATATATTACCGTGATACCCTGCAGCGTACACTTGCAACTGCATCATCACGACTCAGCCTCCAGGAACGGGGTGTGTGAGAAGGATGAGGCAGAAGTGCGTTTCGGGCATTTCCAGGTGCAGGTGGATGTTGCATAGCGCGTCATCGCCCCAATGTGGTGGTGGTGGTGGTGGCGGGCGGTCAGTTCCAGCGCCCTGGCTCTGGCCCTTCAGCCCTGGACGCAATTATTTCTGTAGGTGTTTGGATGTGATTGCGGCTTGGTTCTCCAATCCCCTGCTTGCTGACAGGTGACTGCTTGATCTGCACGTACGATTCGCATACCTCCCGTGATAGGTACCCCGGACCCTCTAGTCCGCTTCTCGATTCAGCGCCCATTGTGTGCATGGCACGCGAAAGCGAGCACTGACTCGGCACCCAGATTTAGCCACCTGATGTGGGGCAATGAGACACCCGACGCCCTTTGAGCAAAGATTGGCGGAACCACCCTGGCTGAAAACAACATTTGGCATGTTGCCCCATTTAAGCATCAGCACTAAGAAGGATCATCCCGGTGGATCCTAGAAGGGCAGGCCATAAAAAGAAAGAGGTACCCGACACAATGGTAGCGAAGACCTAGGGCTTGACCTACTTTGCCTATGGGAGAGGGCGGTGTTCGAAATCGGGCTTTATACAGCACGTCGTGCATGAGACTAGATTTCGTAAAGAGATCAATCAGCGAAAGATGTAATTTCCACCTCTACTGAAGCTGTTCTGAAAGCAGAGATCCATACATGAGAAGAGATGGCATTCGCAACGGTGCGGTATTCGCCGCCAGCCAGCCACCCAACGCTCAGCTCTCCGTTCCTGAGTAGCCATGGTTGCCTTACGATCAACAACACTACTCAGGCCGCACTCACGCGCTGCTCGATCCTAACGATCAGATTCCCGCAGAGAAAAGGATGGGGCTTACTCCCTGCGAACTCGATCCTGATTGATGACCTTGCAGCTGGAAGTGGGGGCTAATCGCCGCCGATACCGCCGCCCCAGCCCTCCCGTCCGCTCCGCCGAGGTGGATCATCTGAGCGGAAGGATCGCCGGTGCTACACTCATTGGCATCGCCCCTCTCGCACCACACCACCACAGAACATGGGGGGGATACGTACTGCTGCGGTTCCTGCTGGTGGCGCCACCACCGCTGCAGCTAATGCCGTCGTCGCTACGGATTAGTATCTGCCCTCAATCTCACTTGCCAGATCCCCTCCCTCATCTGCATCCCGTCCGCCCCACGATCCAGATACCCGGGACCTTTTCGCGTTCGGATTTGTGCGTACCAGCAGGGGAAAGTTCGTGATCGTGGTCATCTTGTTTTGATTTTTCAGCCCCCACGTGTCCATTTTTTGCTCTCGCATCTCCCAGATACGGCGACGACCCCCACGGACCATTGCCCTTTTTCAGCACTAGCTCCGTTGCGCTGCCCGGTCATCGCTGTTGCCTGTGTAGCCACCAACGCCCGCGCACAGCCAGTGGGTCGCCGTCCAGCCACCCGCATCTCACGAAGGCAAGCACAAACAAGATCTATGATTGCGGCAGTGGCGCGAGCTGGGCAGCGGGAAGATCCACTACCCACCAACCGCGACGACGATGGGGCGCCAGCCAGCGGCTGGCCTGTCGTTGGCCAGGCGTTTGTGGTTGTATCGAAGCTTTCTGAGTGGCTGCCGTGGGGTGCGTAATCTCAAGCCCAACTCCCATCTGCAGGTCACCCGACGATCTCGTCGCCAAGAGCACGAGCCTACGCGGACGATGGACCGTGCTCCAACGAGCTGGGGCTTACAATACATGTGGCAGGAATAAACGTGCGGTTTGCGGTTTGCTGACAACGGTCATGGGTGAGGCGCAAAGCTGATGCATGCTGACTCGGGGAGGAAATTGGGGATAGCGCTCCCGCCCTCCCGCTGCACAGCCGCTGGCTGCCGCAGGTCGGCCGCTGTTTACGCCGATGCGCCGTCAGCAGTTTGTTTGTGTACTAAGGCGAAACGGAGAAGCTGAGAGTCGAAGGATGGGGCGGATGGAGAGTTGCTGGTGTTGGTCTCTAAGTATGGGAGGTTCTGGTGGCAATCTGAAACACGGAGCTTGCTGAAGCATGGTCATGGAGATACGAAACTGTTGTTGAGCTGTTGCGGTGATCTCTCGCTGGAGGGGACGAGCCTACAGGGTTTTGTTTGCAAGGGCCTTCCTTTTTTTTCATGCACATACTTTCCTTTTTGATTCCAATATCACGTTACTCGGTTCATTTGCTAGCAACTTCTGCTCGCACGGCTCGAGAAGCTGTTGCCGCCCCGCCGATGGCCCTATAAACTCTCAGAGCACGACTCTACAAAAAAGGATGCAACTCTCTACCGGGGCCCTGGCCGTGGGTCCACCTTTTACTTAACGCGCGTGCGATGGATCCGCTAATGAGTTGCTGCAAGCAGACCTTGGTAGAACACGATGCAAGGTTGGTACATTAGAGCCCTTTCTGGTTTCGGGTGGTTTGCAAGGCGCATGACCTGGATGTTGGGTAAATCCGAGAGAAGAGAATTGGATGCACAGTACACGTGTATAGTTTGTTCTGAGACCCGCACCTTTTCTTTCGGTGACCGACCGTTAGAATGGCTGCTAATTTTTTGTCGATCTGCGCTTTCCATTGGCAGATATTCACACTTGTTGACAAATGAAATCACAGCAACATACCAGTCTGACTACTCTTACGTCGTTATCTGCACGTCGCCGCTGGGCCGAATCCATCATGCTTATCCCGCCGGAAATTCGGCCCGTGTTTGCCATTCCAACTGACCGAACGTACCTTTCTGCATATTCTCCCCACACAATAGAATTCACCTTAGCAGCATGAGAGATGCGGTCCTGCATATCAAGCTTATCAAAGCGACCCAGAGAAGTGTGTAAGGATCAAAGTGACCCTAGAATGTCACGCGGTCAGACATTTCCGTGGCCTCGAATGAGAAGATATGTAGTACCGGAGACATCTCTTTCGTGAGATTTCTTGAAGATGACGGCCCTCAGCATCTCATCAGGGCTCCGCACATTTCTATCTTAGGGTTTCGCGGTAGAACCGTGATTTCAAATGTCGTAGCCGGTGTAAATAGTTTCTTTTCTGCCTCAAGAAGCTGGCCATCAGATCTTGTACTGCATACAAATGTGAACAAAACCGAATGCCTCAAACCAACTTCATGGGCGAGGGCACGGTCCTCCTATAAGCATGAAAAAGTCCATGAGGCAGAACGCACCTCTCTAAGGTTCTATCATTCATTCCAAATGACTTCTAAATTCTATTTTGCATCTGCTAAACCCCTTTTAGCCGCGTGATCAGAATCGATACGGGTGACACATTTCTACGCTATCTGTAGGGATGTTCATAGACCTGCCCCGGCTATGGTAGATCTACAAGTGTTGGGATCATGTGAAACACCCGGACTTCAGCAAAAACTGCATAGAATTCATATTTCCAATAAGTATGACTCGGAAAGTTTTACACGTTTCCTTAAACTCGCTAGCTGAACAACATATTCTAATCATAAACAATAGGAAAAAGTACTACCGACTATAATCAACGCTGAAAAGGAGACCTCGCATGAAAATTGACATGAATGAGAGTGCTCCCGTCTTCGAAACTCGTGGCTACGACAGGGAAAAGCCTTCCTGTTGGAATATTGCTGATGCGACCTATGTTTAGGTTAGCCTAGTTATGCGCGAAGCTGTGGATTTCGCATACCAGAGCACCGGCCATTCTTAGTAAAGAACAGTGAGTCAGAGTTATAGTCGACCCCGCATCCGACAATGTCTCCTATACCGTATCCTGGCCAATGGTCTCATTGTCTGTTCTCATCCTTCGGGACATATTAACCACATATTTGCCCGTTGTCATTGTACCCTACCGCAAGCGAATCTAGGAAAGGGAGTTTTGTAGCTTTGAAAGGGTCCTGACAAACTCCAATCTGGATGTACCTGAAGTAACTTAGTTTTCATTCCATAAGCCAACCATTGTTCCTGCCCTTACGTTGCTGAATATTCGCCTTGAATGCAAACCTCAAAATAGGCGTGTAGCGCGGTGGCTGGAAATGGATGATTCGCTTGGTATAATTTTGCGAACTTGTCTATCAAGCCAGTTAGACGCGTCTACATCTCGATCAGCACGCAGGGGTATACACGTACTGACAGTCCAGCCTTTCAGTCTGTCGTCAGAGGGATTGGTGTATTCTCCAGTATAGACTAGGGCCGACGGATGGAGGCACCTGAAAAGCGTAGAGTTGAGAGTGGTCGGGCCTAGAATGTCAGCAATATCCATGAATCCGTTCTTCCATGCAAGCATCCGTGCAGGCCATCTATGCAAGTCCATCATGTTTGGATCGGCCCCTTTCTCAAGTAGTGATTTAACAATCTCCATATCACCTTGGGAGGACGCGATGTGTAAGACAGTACCATATGGGCCGGCAGCAGAATTGACGTTTGCCCCTTTATTTAGAAGTAACTGCAAGAGCTCTTTGTGGCCTTCATGTGCTACAATTTGCAAAGGATCCTCCTCTTCGAGCGAAGGCTCATTGATATTGAAGCCTTGATACAGCAATAAATTTATGACTTGCAATAACCCTCTTCTGCAAGCCATTAGGAATGTGTCTGCGTGCTTCGGTCTTGGGCTGTTTCTGGGTGGTATTCCATCGGTGAAATTTTGATTAGAAAGGCTATCAGTCCTTGGGGTTCTGTCCAAGATAGCACCTTTCCTCACCAGGAAAGCGGCCATGGAGTCCTGATCTGATTGAAGTGCATGATATAGGACAGTCCTACAATGCATATCAAGAGCATTGATGTCGGCTCCATAGTTACAGAGCACCTCAACCAGCTTTGGTGACCGTATTTGACATGCTAGAAACAAAGCAGTCTCGTGAGCGGAGCATTTCTCGCATGTA